ACTCGGGAATTGGGACTATCCGAGGAGCACGTGAATGCACCGTGAGCCGCTGGTTGCAATTCGAACCCTCACCACTAGATGTCACTAAAACCTACACACTGAACCTCGAAGTTTTCTTGTGAATCCAATCTTCTTACAGCCAGCTCTTCAATACACCATGAATAAAATATCAACATGTGAGAAACAATTAAGTCATATCTTTTTTAAAAAACTGAATGTAAACCTAAATTTACTCATATTACATACATGCTGCAATTAAAAAGGACAAATGGGACAAAACACACACACTGACAGAAAAAAAAAAGTCATTATTGTGATTTGAATGTGACCATCTATGCTAGCTGGTCCTGTACGGCAGCCTGTGATCATAGTGATGCTGCAGCAGCCGGAGAATAAACCTCCCTACATGGCACTCAAACAGACAGGAGTGGGGGAGGAGGAGGGGAGGCGGGTTGAAGGGAGATGCGAGCAGCGCCATGCCGGAGATGTTGACCCACTGGCGGACGTGTTGTGGCATTTTCATTCCCCTGGCGGGCTGCAGAGCTCGAGCCGTGCTGCCTGACTGCGCTGATAAGACGGCGGGCCTGACACACCGTGAATACACAAAGAGCCAGATAAAGGTCTGCAGGGTTTTCATCAGTGTGTCCTCTCACTGTTTCATAACTTCAGTCTGTGAAGCTTAAACACGTCAGGAGTTATTTTTGAGATGAAATGCAGTCTTTCCTTTAACCTGCCCTGTCTGCTTCTGCCTCAGTTAGCAATATCCTACATTTCCCAGAATGCCTTTCGATGACCTCCAGGGAGCATGAATATGGTTAACTCGCACCGGGTTATAGATGAAGGTGGAACAGTAAGACAAAGTACTTCAATTAAAATTCTACCTGGCTTGTAGCTGCAATGCATTCTGGTCCATTTCCTGCCCCTGTGGGTGTAGAAATGTCTCTGTTTCTTCTTGTCTGGTGGATTCGTCTCTGTACGATTGTGTCAACTTACATGTCAAACGCATAGACTGTATAAAACATGGACGCAGTCTCTGTGACGTCACCCGCGGGTTTCTGAAGAGCCGTTGAGAAGCTCAATGTGGCTCCCAGCGGCTTCCGGCCGTCGCCATCTCGGCGAGTGCCTGAAGGCCAATGTATCTTTCAGCGGTGAGTACAGCTATACGTACTGTCGTGAGCGTTTATACTTTGGGATTTCTATGTTCCACTGTGTAGAGGTTTTTTTTCTTCTTCGTTGGTGTAGGTTACTACAAACACTGGCGAGTGAAACTGAGCAGATCTTGTTGGAGCTGGAGCTGACCGATGTTTGAAGAGAAGGCGTCAGAGGAGATTGTATGTACGACCCTTGAACCGGTTAAGACAGAAGAAGAAGAAGAAGAAGAAGAAGAAGAAGGACAAGCTGCAAATGCATAGGAGGAAATGTGATGTTACCAAGCTGACCAATCACAGTTCACGTGGTCTGCGTTGCGTCACTGCGATGTGCAGTTAGATTTTTGAGGAGGTGCGCATCGGGTAACCGAAGACGTAGCCTCGACTCTGGCTAATCCAAAATTGGTTGGAGCTGAAGCGGCCGAATGAAGCCTGGTTGCTGAACCACCTGGCGGCTAGTCTACTGTGACAGCCTCCAACTGTCACTCAAAGCGACCATGTCGTTAATCACGCAGAACTTTATACCTTAATATTATATTAAGTGGGTGATAATATAAAGTTTCAACCACGTAAAGTTGTCATGAATCAATGAATCGATTACCCGGGTTACATGCCGGATAAAAAGGCAGAACTATGTGTGCAAATTGCTAATGAAGTGTTGGACCATCCAGACTCGCTTTTTAGGCCACTCGATGAAATGCAGTTTTTGGCAGGCTGCCGTTTGGTCAAACGGTAGCTTCAGCATTACCTCAAAAACAGTTCAGTTTGAGGTAATGCTGCCTTAAAATGAAACTTGCGTGTTTTTATTTCAGTACACTAAATGTTTAACGTCGCCTGCTGACTAAAAATAAAAACCAAGGTCATCGTTAAAGGGGCACCGGAGTGAGTTTACACATGAAAAATCATTTTTCTGCTCAAGAGGGATCCCTCAAAACAGCTGGATGAGCTTTCTTCTGCTGCTCTGCAGGAGCTTTGTGAAGTCTGAGAAAATAACCCTGATGATGTCACATTGTGATGATGTCATCGGGGTTATAGCCAACTAGGCTGGAGACTGTGCTCCAACCTGGAAATGTGGTATTTGAAAGAAAGTTGAAGTTTGACAGGAACAATGTACATGAACAAATGAAAAGACACAACTGAGCTGCATTATGGGAAATGTAGGACCCAGTGGTTTGGACTCATACTATATATATATCTCCATGCTGCATTAATTTAGACCAGTCTTATTGTAATCCCTCTCTAGCAAAGGAAGCACTTTACCCAGTCGCTGAGTCCCCGTTTTAATCATTTCTGCATTTGAGCTGGAAGATAGAAAAAAAAGGGTGAAACTTCCAGCGCGAGTCAACTGGAGAACGAAGCTGTGAATGCCACACCCGAGATGTGGACTAATTTATCCAGGTGATGTAAATAAATATGAAAAGTAAACAAACCGAACCTCTGGGTCTCAGCTGACAGTCAAGTTTACTTTGCAGAGAGATCAAATTAAAGTGACATTACGTCATTCTGTTTTCACTTCAAATGAATAAAATAAAGATCAAACTCATGTCTCCAACCTCCTCACGCGTTTCCATGAACCAAAAAGAGTGTGTGAGACCCCTTCAGGGATTTGGTCCAGACATGAGGACGCGCATAACTCTCTCTAGTGAACACATCTCTCTATTCATCCATCTGCTATAATGAGACGCGACTGAGTGACAGGATGATCGACCCTGATGCGGCCATCCGGGTCAGACACCACCGACCTCAGCTTACAGCACACGAAGCCAGCTGACCTCGTTTAAAGGCAACATACTCTGGATTCCACACACCACAGCTGTGTCACTGAAGCCTGGCCTTTCTCTGCTGTTGATTTTACCTCTCCCGGGTTTATCATGCTTGACAGCGGGCGCGTGTGTCTGAGACAAAAGAGACGCACCGTGCGCGTTAAACGGTAACTCACCATCATCCCCGGCAGGTTGACGCGCCTCGTCCGCGTTCACATCACGGCAAAAGGAGCCTCCTGAGCGACAAACACCGACCATAGTCAACGTTTTCTTCCCCGACCTGGGTGTAATCCTGTCGGCGAGGAGCTCGGTCTCTCCCCGGCAGCCTGCAGGGCGGTGGATCCGCCACCTGACTAGTCCTCCATGGGGGAAAAACGCTCACAAAACGGGCTGGAAATGATCGATTACCCGGGTTACATGCCGGATAAAAAGGCAGAACTATGTGTGCAAATTGCTAATGAAGTGTTGGACCATCCAGGCTCCGGTCTGGATGGATAGATGGATGGATGGATGGAGGATGGTGAGCCTCGCGGTGCGTCGGGTGAGGAAGGTGGCCTGCGCTGCAAAAAATGACGACTCCGGACCTGTCAAAGCCTGCATCCCGTTTACTGAGAGAAATAAAAGTCAGGCAAATCCGCAGCGGCTCCTAGAGGCTGACATTTTAAATACATCCCCAAATATCACCAAATATTTACTGAACATTTCTTCTTCTTCATGTTGGTCTGTTTATGCACATGTATGTAGGCTACTCACAAGTGTTTTTAATGTATTACTACCTTTACAGTAGGAAATGCAAGGCTATATTTGACAAGACTAATATGCAGTGATGGAATTTAACACAGTAGCCTACTTTTGCTATACTTATTTTCTATTTGATATTACCTGCTACATTTTATTTTGTTGCCAGTGTGATTTCTCTTCTCCTCTTTGTTTGTCTTTTATATTTCTTTAAATGCCCGAGGAACCAGTGCAAGGACCCGGCTGTATTTGTACTGTAAATGTGCAAAAGGGAAAAAATAAAATAAAAGTCACTTGGACTCCAAATCTTTTGCAGTGCGCGAGGCAGCCGCACGACGTCCTCACGCAGAGGCAGAGGAGCAGCGTCAAGATATTCAAAATTACTACCACACAGGAGGCGGTGTTATCTAACCTTTAAAATAATAATGACATGCTTATAGGACTTGGTCAGTGGTGGACAGTTTCCAAGTACATTTACACAAGTATTTTACAAGTACTTTATTTTATTTTCATGCCACTTTCTACTTCTACTCCACATCTCAGAGGGAGATATTGTAGTTTTACTAGTAACTTTACAAATTGAGATTTTACAGATTTTTTTGTTATGAATTAAACTAACAGTTCGTACAAATACTCATGACTACTGCTAAAAGGCTTAGTTGATTGACAGAAATCGAATTGCCAACTATTTTTTAACCATTTCAGCAACCCTGACATAAATAACCATAATAAAAGTACTTTTTACTTAAGATAGGCTGCTTAAGTATTTTTAAAAGCAGGTCGTTTTGTACGTTGACTTAAGTAGAAATTTAAATTGAAGACTTCTGCTTTTAGTGGAGTAATATTTAGCAAGGGTATCTGTTCTTTTACTCAAGCTACAGGTTTTGTGTTTGCATTGCTAAGACTTTATTGTGCGTTGTCCTGCAATGCTTCGTGTAATTGTACAGGGAAGAAAAAGTCATACCGGTCCTTTCAGGCTGGATTTCCAACTGGGTAAAGTACTCCGATGCCCCAGATGCCCTAATAGCCCCAGGTGTTCATTTTGTGATTGTTTGATTGACTGCAAATTTGTTTGTGAATAATATGTAACACAAATTCACCAGCTGAAATTATATTCACAGCATTGTGTCAGAGCAAACACGGGGCCAGGTTTTCTGCACTGTAATGGTCCGAAAATGTGAGGAATCGGGGTCAACAGGGGCCCACAGTTTATTTATGTTTTTTCCCTTTGACACCCAACACATTAATCTGGCCATGTGGTCATCAGCCAGTAGCATTTGATTGAATGTTTAAGTCTGTTTAAAAATACAAAAATGCTAAACAACCCCAAAAAGAAAGATGAGGACAAAGCTGGGCGACACTGAACTTTTAATTTACTGCAGCTCAATGAACAAATAAAGAAGATTTCTTTTTGCAGAGGGCTGCGGAGAAACTGTCTTAAGTCAACTGAAGGGACCCACAATTGTGAGCTTTTATTTTATGTAGTCACTGAACATCTTTAACTCATATTTGTTGTTTTCTTCTTGTTCTTTTCTCTCCTAAACAGAGTAGGCCTAGAGAGGCGAGGCTGTGCGTTGAAAATATAACTTTTTATTTGTGCAGCAGCTTAAAAAATACATATTAAAATACGTTTAGAAGAATTGCATGCATCTTCATCAAAACTACATATAAAGGAATTTTAAAGTGATATCATGATAGAATATCAGAGTGACTGAGTAAAGATTTAGAGTTACAGAGATTATGGTCTAACAGAGAACATATTACTGACGTTGTTGTTAAATCACTGTTATTTTTAAAAATCGTGTGCAAAGACAATCAAAATGTTTATAACTTCTGCTCTTGTCAAATGAGCTTTAACTTTATTTTTTACCTCCTGCCTCTGCCTTTTTGTTTCCTTCAATGCTTCCTCTTTTCTGTCCTACCTCCCATCTTGCCTCCTACCTCCTCTGAGAGGACTTAAAAATAGACTTAAATAAATTTGACAGTGGTGAACAAAAAGACAAATTCAACACTAAATACAACCACAAATATGACTTCTACAGGTATAAAAACAGAAATGCATGGTGTCATCACCACCTCGCTGTCAGAGGGGGGCAGTGTGCCCTTTGTTCTCCACACACACAGCTCTTTGTTTAAATTTCAAAATAGATTTGTCACATCAGCTTGAAGGTAGATAGAAATCGCACGTCCGCAATAAACATGTCTGTGCAAAGTATACGCTGAGAGAAGGAGCTGGAAGAGGTGATGAACAGGATGTGAGGGGTCGGAGGTGATCTGTAGGCGTATCAGTCATTGGTATCATCAAGTTACATATAATTATATATAACTGGAATTAGTCATTTGATTTGTGCTGAATATACTTAACTCCAGTAGAAGAGATCAGTAAAAGAATGTCTCTGGCAAGAATGGCGTGGCTTCAGCTAAAGACCTGAGCTGGTTAAAAATGTAACTCGAGAAGAAGAAAACGTGGCTCTGTTTTATAAAAAGCAGCGTGGGTGGAAAGAGATCTTTGTAACTCTGGTTACCGTCCAGCGAAGTTAAACATGTCACAACACTCCCTGAAGAAATTAGGAGTTTTGATGGACTCGCGTTGCGCTGTTGACCCTCAGCGGCGCCTTTCAGGTTCTGGGCAGGAAGCGCAGGTTTATGGGCTTTGCAGGGATGAGCAGGGTTCGAGTTTTAGGCTCCACGACTGGTGCACCAACGTCTGGCTGGACCTCATAGTGCTGCATGATCTGCAGGACGACACAAACTGATCAGTGTGCTGCCTCAGAATACAACTGTGTCGATATCAGCCACTAAATGATCAAAGAAACTAAATTCTGTTAGATATTTGATGTTTGTTCACTCACTTTTAGTCTACATATTTACATATCACTTACAAATCTAAACCTTGGAGAAGGACGTTATTGTCTGTTTTGTAGCTTTTAGCAGGATCTCTCAAAAACATCTGGACAGGTTTCAATGATATTTAATGGAAAAAATAATTGTTACCGTGAAAGTAACTAAAACTTTGGCTGCTGGGAAGGTAAAAAAAAATGCTCAGACATCTAAAAAACCTTTGGTATGCATTGTAAAATTGTTCAAATTGACCAGGAAGTAGAGCTTGAGGATGTTGATCTACGTCACTCACCCTGGACAGAGCAAAGTACATCTCCATCTCCGCCAGTCTCTTCCCCACACAGGCTCGCACCCCGACACCGAAGGGGATGAAGCTGTACGGGTGATGCTGGTAGGAGCCCGGCGTCGCCCTGACGCAGCCACTGCCGGTCACCTCAGGACGGAGCCACCGCTCGGGGAGGAAGAGCTCTGCGTTTACAAACTCTGCTTCACTGTGACAGGCTGCGTAATGACAAAGGTGGAACTGAGTCTGAAAGGAAGGAATAATAAAAGTTTATTTAAATGGCACATCCATTTCTCTTCAATTCAACTTGTTTTGTTAAAGGAGCAAATCCTCCTTGTTCTGCTTTCCTACCTTCTTTGGGAACCAGTATTTGTCCACAACCACCTCGTTCTCTGAAACAAAGCGTCCGTTTCCAGGTACCACTGGATAAAGGCTGACAGACACACAATCAAGAATGAAATCAGGGAGGAAAACGGGACCTGGAGCACGTTCTCAAGTTGTTTGTGTTTCCTCTTGTTAAAGTTTTATGATAAGCTGAATGTCAAAGATAATAACAGGTTCCAAAAAACACAGAACAGGTTTGTCAAGCCACGTTGCATTACAAGTACGAGCACTGCATGCAAACTTAAAAGTACAAATATATTATCAGCAAAAAGTTAAGAAGAATCTACATTTATCAGTATTTTTCATACTTTCCTCATATACGTTCCTCTTTTTATTAACAACTGATGCACATTTAGTTTTGCATTTGGATATGACAAAGTAAATTATGTATAAGCATTTCATTTGTGGACGCCGGGTGGGATTAATACGTTTTTTTCTTCTTCCCACTCCTTATCGAATATGTAAAGAAAGTGTTTAAAAAAGTTATTTGGCTGTAATAATAATAATAATTATTATTATTATCTTGTTATTTAGTCATTTTGATTAGTTTTAATCTCTATTTCTTGTCGGATGTTTCTGTTTTACATATTTTCAAAGTAAATACTTAAATAAAAATAAATATTAGCCTCCTTTGTACACCATTTGATCAAAAGTAAGCACATACTTTTCAGTGATTTCCTACTACAGTACTTGTACAAACCTGATTCACGGTGAAGATGAATCATGACTTTGTTATCGTGACTATGCAACTACATGACTATTATTGCTACTGTTGCATAATATGATAGACGTCCTGTACCAGAGTTAAAAAAACACGAGTTCATGCAATTTAATTTAGCTGACACAGAGCGTTTAAAGTCAGTGGCCCGAGTCTCTGGAACAGCCTGCCACATGAAATCAGGGCGGCCGAATCAGTGAACTCTTTTAAATCCCTTCTTAAAACATACTTTTATAGGAGAGCCTTTCTTGATTTTAGTTGATTTTATATATTTAGTTCCTTGTTTCTTGCTTTTATTGTGTATTTGTTTTTATCTGTGTTTTATTGTCTTTGCATTTGTTAAAGCACATTGTGACTTGTTTTTTGAAAGCTTCTCTATAAATAAAGTTTATTATTATTATTATTATTATTATTATTATTATTATTATTATAATGCAGCACACGGGGACTAAGATTAGTAAAGAAACAGTACTACTGTTTACTACACTTTAGAAGCAGCTTGTAAGGTCACCCAACCAGATCTGAAAATCCTTGTCACACTGGCAGGCTTTCGGCGTACTGGGGCATTGTCACACCCTTTAGTATTTTCAAATACTTGTGTGCCACAAGTGTGGCTTTTGAAACAGAGCCAGGAAATGGACCAGAAAACAACACACATGGATACAAAATGTGTTTTTCCAGCACTCGTTTCACAGACTGTTGGTAAAATTTGAGATACAGAAAGCAACAGAAAGAAAGCATTCATGTCAAGTTGAAAGATCTGGCAACATCCAGTCTCTACCTCAAACATTAAGCTGTACTTGTTTGAACTTTATCCAACGGATGCTTCTTAACTTAATGTAGACACAATAAAAAGACAGTGAATTATGTCCTTATGTCCAATTGCGAGCTGTAAGTTAAATTAAACTATATTAATATAATACAATAACAGTAATATCACAAAGATAAAATAATGCATGCCGCCATTAGGAGGGTAGTTACCAAGATGGGGGTAGCGTTTCAAGAAAATCTTTTCATTTTTTTTCTTATAAATACCTGGATAATTTAAAATTTTACAGGCCATTAAAAAAAAAAACTTATTGGAACGATTAAAATCAGCCTTTGGGTTCACAAGTACACGTTGCTTGTTTTAACTGGACACAAGCCAAATAGTCTGCTTTAAGAGACAAATCCAGCTGTCAGCTCACCGTAGCGTCTCCTTTATGACGGCTTTCAGGTAGGGCATCCTGCTCAGGTTGTCTGTGGTTGGCTCCTGTCGGTCCGGACACACAGAGTTCACCTCATCGTACAGTCGGCCCTGAGCCGGACGGTCCCTGGCCAAATGGTACAACGCCCACGACAAGGTGTTGGAGGTCTGAGATCAGGCGGGACGTGAGAGAGCAGGAAGGAAAGGAAGCAGACATCAGATTCCTGTCTGCCACAAGGACACAACGGACAAGGCAAAGAGTCTTGGCTCTGTGAGGCTGCAAAAATTTCAATCCTCAGGATGAAAGCCTCCTTGGCAAGAGGACTTCTTGTACAAATAAGAGTCATTGTGCTGAGAAAAACGTAAGGGGTTTAAAAAATGGAAATTCACACTTCGACTTCAGTGAATCTGTAGACGGAGTGTAGAAGCAGATTTGTGTGAAAACTGTGTTGCAAATCATACACCAATATATTCGGTAACTATATGGATGGCTGAAGTTAAGCTCACAGTTATAAAATAAACATGTTGGGAAAAGTTGAGTTCATCTGGTCATCTAAGTCCACCCACCAACTTTCCGTGAAATTCATTGGAAAATGTTTCAGATATTTTGAAAACAAATCAAATCCACGGTTGCTTCACTTAACATAACTTCTCCATCTGTTCTTGAAGAGAAGTCCAGTCAATTTCTGAGCAAACAGGGAGTCACCTAACAACAGCCTGTTTCTTTGTGTTGGCAACCATTTCATCAGAGGAGGAGACGCCGTTCAAACCATATCTACAGGTAGCTGAGATGACTTAGATTTCACAAATCTCCAGCTACCGCCAAAAAGAACGGCAGCAAGCCCCAACCTCACCTGGGAATGCAGACAAACAAACTATGCTCGTACCTGCAACAACAAAACTGTCTGCGATTATTCCTGTTTCAGTTGTTGCATGTTTAGACGCTCTCGGGCCAACACTGGTAGGCACGAGTGAGAGATTCTGATCTGCTGTTTTGTAACAACCCGCCAAAAGACAAAGTGCCGACATGGCATAGAAACCACACTGTGACATTTTTACGGACAACACAGACATCTTTAAAAAACAAACCTCTAATTCTCCGAGTGAGATCATTTATAGCAAAAGTCAGAGCAACAGAGAATTCAGCTTTAAGTCTTCAGAAAGTAAGACTGTGCATGTTTACAGAAGATTTAAATGCCAATTAGCCCAGAATTCTGCAACCTGATCCAAACCCAACCCATCCAAACAAACTATCAGGGTTCATGTCTGGTTGGGATTATGCTGTGTTTAAATGTAATTCAATAAGACATTCCGTTCTTGTTCTCTCTGACTGTGCTAGTGCGTAAGAGGTTGTTTAAGCCTCGTGAGGTAGTGACATCAGGCCTGGCTCAGGTTTGGAAGAACTCTAACCTTAGGAAACAGGAAATTCCTGAGTGTGGTACCGACCTGGAAAAACAAAATCGGCCAAACAGATGAAAAACAAAACCACTACTGCAGCACATTCAACTTCTCCCACACATATTTTCATCTGAATATGGATAAATCATTTGCTTTTGCAGCCTCCAGCTCTTCTGTTTGCCAAACAAAGCGGTTTTATCCACAAGTTGGCAACAATCTGAAGCATATTGGCCACATCAGCAGACTGCAGAGAAGAAGACTGAGCTGCAGAAGTTCTTGGAGAAGTTGGATGTTTTCTTTTTCCTCGCTCACCGTGAGAATTTATTTTTGAAAAACAAACATGATTCGAGCTAAAAAAAAGCTGCTGTTCTCTGTTAGGAACTATTTACAGGCAGCTTTCAAGCCAGGTTTTGGGTTTAATGTGGCTTAAACTGCTTTCTGGGATAACAAAGATGCCTCTAAATTAAAATAATGATCGTTAAATAGACACTAAACTGATGAAACGTGAAAGTATTTATTAAACAAACTCTGAGCAGACGGCTTGCTGTTTTCAAACCACCAGTATGAACTGGTACCATCCTCCCCCTTCTCACCGTGTCGACTCCTCCCAGCAGCAGCTCAGTGATGCTGATGTAGACCTCGGCTGTGGTCAGCTTGTCAGAGGACAGCAGGTAGGTCAGATACATGCCCTCCGCCTGCTCGCCTCTGCACACCTGAGCTTCAATTTCTGCAATTCTCCTGTCGATGAGGGTCTTGGCTGCCGTACAAAAACACAAAAACCAACCAAACAAACAAAAAGGTGAACTGGGAGCCTAAATTGCATGGATTTTCCCTTTTCTTGTTTCTTTTGCTGCATACCTACGTTAAAGAGGTCGTCCCAGGCCTGAACGAAGCGTTTCCAGAAGGGGAGGAGACCGCGGCTCCAGCGTGGGAAAAGGACCACAGTCTCGGACAGCGTCAGCATGTCATTTACGGCGGTGATGAAGCGCAGTGTGTCCTGGGGAATCTCCTCCTGCAGGCAGCCCATCCGGGTCTCAAACAAGATGGAGGAGATACCTGCAGGAGGTTTGGGAGAAGGTTCAAAAGAATCAAAAACTGACCCCCTGTCCTCAACCTCTGGTATTACTGACGTACTTCCTACCTTCAAAGCCGAACTTGTAGAGCTCCGCAGCCATATCTGGAACAGTGGCCTGGTCCTGACTGCGACTTCGGAGGAGCTCGATGCGTCGCAGCAGATCTCCGACCACCTGGTGGATGATGGGGGCGTAGGCCGACACTTCCCGCAGCTTCAGCATCTTGGGGTTCAAGGCGCTGCGGATTCTGTACCACTCCAGTCCTGTGCTAGAATGTAAAACTGGTTTTTCAGATTACAAACTTGAGGGGCACCGTGAGGGAGCCCTGAGGAACCCCTTCACTCTGGGGTCATGAAACCTGGACTTTGGATACATGAACCTTTAACTTTCTTTAAATTGACTCCATCAGGGACCCTTCAAGGGTATTTTATCCTGTGTCTTGCTCATGAACACTTTAGCAAAAAGGGGCTTTAACACAACGTCTATGTAAAAATGTTTAGGTTGTAGGAAGATCCCTGTCAGATATAAACCTTCTGTTAAATAAAAGTGAGAAAGAGCAACATCATCTGCCTCCACTCACTTTACATGCAGACCGTAGGCCTGTCCTCTCAGGTCCAGGTACTCCTTCCAGTGAGGCAGCTCGGCTCGGAGAGGGTAACGGCCCTCCTGTTGGATCACCTGAGCTATAAGCTCCGGAGTTGCCACATTGACAATGTCAAACGGGCCGAACGTGGAGCGCCAGATGGGCCCGTAAAGATTCTTCTGTACGCCCTAGAAAATAATGGCGCGGTGTAAAATGAAAAAGTGTAAATTAACTGTTGCATTTTAGGACCATTTGACCATCATAGTCACTGGCTACTGTACATTTCAGATTAAAACTCAAACATACCAAACACTGATCAGACATAACATTATGACCACCTGCCTAACTTTGTGTAGGTCTCCCTTTTGCAACCAAAACAGCCTTGACCCCCAAGCACTGTGTGATCTGATCACAGGGGCCAGCCTAGCCTGGCTGCCTAATATAGTCCACCCCAACAGTGTAATCACTGTTACTCAGTTCTCATGTCTGTGATCATAGTGTTTTGGCTAATCAGTGTATAATCAGCTCATAATTATTTTGATGAAAAACAAAGCAGTTTAAAGTCAAATTACTTTCACCAAAAATCAGCTACAACCTGTAATACTGCTGTGTGCATTCATACTTCTTTCACCACAGTAAGTGTTAATGCCCCGCAGACATAAGTGACACCTGACAAAAGAATGAAATCTATAATTGTACTCTAAGGCAGGTGATGAAAATGGGAGTGTTAGTTACTAACCACAACATAAATGGCAACAACCTAATAGGCTAAACTAATACTACTAGTATTAAAGTAGTATAAAAATAGTATTAGCTTACTATAATAATTATACCCATTGGTAATTATATGCAAAACGTTTAATATTCTAACTTGCTTTAAATTAATTTTAAAAAAAGTTTACCAAACTATCTAAATACTAACAAAAACAGGACATGATCGAGGGCGTTTGGAGCCATCAAAGGCGGCTTTTATTCTTGCATGCAAGTGAAGTAGGTAAAATATTGGTCGACTGTTGCGCTTGTCGTTGAAGCAGCTGCAGAAAAGTGATAAAAGTTAGTTTTGGTGAGCGGACATTAGCAGCCAGCAACTCTCTGAGAGTTAGGCCTACCTGCAGTAAGTGGCTCTTGTCCGCGTATCCTTTGACAAATAACCAGTACAGGGTCGTGGATAAACTGGGCCCCGGCAGGTCATCGATAGTCTTCAGCTTCCCGCCCTCAGTCGCCGCCTGAACGTTCAGGTTTCTTCTGGCGCTGTTTCGGAGGTCCAGACCGGCCCGGGCCGCCGGCAGAGCCCGGGAGCAGAGCGCAGAGAGCCGGAGAGGCCGAGCAGCCGCCGCCGGGGAGCCCATGATGGAGCTGAGTGGCTGATGTCCGACTGGTTTTGGAGATGTGTGTGTGTGACAGACTTTTATTGTGTTACACCCCCTCCAGGACGTTTTCAGAACTGTTCCTCATTGGACTGTAGCAAATTATTTGTTTGGGATTAATTAATTACATAGGTCTAGCCTAAAAATAAGATTGTTAATGAGAGCTGTCTTTATATATTCCTACAGGGTATTTGAATGCTTAGTCTTATGTTCAGATAAAGAATAATATAAAGTATAAAAACACAATGAAACGTAATGAATGATCTGTTGTGAAATGTTGACATAATGTAATGTAGGTGAAATCTGGTATATTGGGACAGTTTTTGTAATTCTGTCTCGTGATCTCGTTCTTGTCATAAATTTAAAAAAGTAACCCAACATATGATGTATTTCTGAATTCCTCAAGATGTCAAGATTTTGTTGTAGTTGACACAAAACTCATTTTCAGGAACATGTTTTGTAATTTGGGATTTACAGTTTTATTAGTGTATAACCTAGCCATTAACCCTATTACACATTTAAACTTATTTCTTAACCATGAATAAAAGAACAAAATGTCCCAAGTTACATGATATTACGTATTAGCCTATCCTTATACCTGAATTCACCCTAATACAGTGTGGATTGCATCAGAGCTGATAAAAGTGATCATTTCTGAAGCACAGAAGGTAAAAAAGGAGCTTTAAAGTATCTGTGATCAGCTTTACTTCTCTTTACACACTTTACTGTCACCATAGGATTTGTTTACTGTTTATTTATCAGGGGAGTTTCACTGGGAGCATTTGCTTCTTCTCCAATAATGCATAAAATACGTTGACACTTAATATAATGATAGTCTGTCAGACAGTTTTCCTTTCTTAATATAGTTCTTTATATATATATATATATATATATATATTAGTTCACAGGTATTTTTTTTTAAATGTACCTGTTTTAGTATAAATTTCACTGACATTTTGTTTATATTATGTTTTATTACTGTTCTTGTATGATGTAAAGTGACATTGAGAAAGAAAGAAAACGTCTGTAAGTTGATGTAACCGAAAGTTTTGATGAAAGTTCTCTAACTTTAATGCAACTGAAATTACAATTACCATCAGTTTTACTGTGTTGGAAGAATATGCAACGCTTAGTCTGTCTCTATACACATATACAAATTATTGGAAACACTAAATTACAAGTGTAGTAGCTACACATGACCACGGGAGGGCGCATTATTGAAACATGATTGTAAACCCAGCAAAGTGTAAAGTTAGACACAATCTGACAAACTCACAATTCTGGTGAGCAATAGACAATTATTGTATTAATTTTCTTAGAAGCTCAACTTAGATGTTCAACTTCAACAAATTAATAATAATCCAACCAGATTATCAGTTTGTTGCATTATTTTTAATTCATGCCTGAACAGAGATCTTTGCACGCAACGAAAACACTCAACACCAAAATGTGAAATAAATATCTTTATTGTTTTCGTCATCATAATTGTTGTAATTATGAACACAGAGCTGTCGCAATACTCCAGAATTTTGCCAAATAAAACAGCAACCATTCAACGGCACCGCTGCGTCTCTCAGGACCCAACCATGCAATAAAATCTCCCATAAAAAAAAAAGAAAAAAGTAAAATAAAAAATATATTAAAAAATTATGCGTACCACTGATATACAGATCTGATATAAACAGGCGTATTGGTCACAAACCAATTAGAATTATAAACATGGCTTCTTTTACAATACACAGAGACCAAACATGTGGGATATAAGTGGACTTTTCTTTTTCTTTAAAAAAAGGGTACATTTTCATTTTATACATTTGTACATGATTATTTTTTTTTATTATTATCATTATTTTTATGTTTTCACCCCCTACAGTCAGAATGCTCAAGGCATTTCGGGCGCAGTGGCCAAAGAGCACAAATTGCAGTAAATGCAGTAAATGCACGTTTACACACTCACACATTCACACACACACACACACACACACACACACACACACAGGAGTGGCAGCAGTGGCTTTAGACACTAAAGAGAGAACTACAGGTGTATCTTGGCGTTTGCAGGTGATAAATACTGGTACGTAAGAGTTAATCCACGTTGGTGAACGAGGCCATCTGACGGTAAAAAAAAAAAAAAAAAAGAGGAGACATTACATTCGTGTATTCGAGTCATTGCTCTCTCTCTCACACACACGCTCACAATCACACTTGTGTTTAAAAAAAACAAACAAACAGTCTTTAAATGTGCAAAGAAAAGGTCGCTGAACTGAGCTGCGTGAGCGACAGCCGACGAGGGATCGTGAAGAAGCATCAGTGAATCAGATGCATGATGGTAGTGCGTATCAAGGTTTAACAGTGCTGGCGGCTTTTTCTGTAAGCCGCCTCAAACTCAAGACAACCACTAATGATTTCAGGCGGATCCGATCAAGGGTTTTTCTTTTCTGTAGCTTTGTTTTGACGTGTACCGTTTTTTGAAAATGCATAATCTGATCGAAGTAGTAGTTTGTTTAAGTTACCCGGACAAAGAAGAGAAGTTGTGTGGATCCATCAACTGACGCACAATTGAAATTGTTTTTTACCACAAAGCAGCGAAAGTCTGACTATTTCAGACGGGTTGAACAAGTGCCTTCAGAGAAAATCCATGAACTGTGATTCGGCGTGGGGCGACTCGTGACGATAAATCATAATCACACTGACCTCAGCGAAGAGACAAAGGCTTGATGAGCAAACGATTAACGAGGACAAGTTAAAAAAAATAAAAAATAATAATAAAAAGGTGCAATCAGTAAAACATGTCTCTTTAGTTGCATCTAGCGGTCGCTGCAGGGAACTACAGCAACAGCATTACAAACAGAAAATGATTTCTTTTACCATTTCCCAGAAGGATTCCTGGAAAGAGCCATTTATTATTCATCGGATATTAGACACTTCATTCTCCATATATGTTGAATTGAGAGCAAAATTCATATTTTTAGACGTTCAGCAATTCATTAACTGCAACTGAGAACACCATTTTACTTTTTATTACATACGTACTAAACTACATAGTTATTTCCAGGGAAATGTGGGAAATTTTTTTCTAAAACTATAAAAATAAGGTGTTTCTGATCACCAAAAAGTGCATTACGTCTCGTACCGTCCATTTTACATTACTATTAGACGCCTTTCTATCCGCCACTTTTAATTCCATAGTAGCACACATCCACGTCCCCATCAAGAAGTAAACCAATCAGGTGAAGTGGTTTAGAAGTTAGAATAAGTGAGGGTTGAATCTGCTCCAACACAGAAGACAGAAACCAATAAGTGCATGCTGGGTAGTTAAGTCTAGAGTTCTGAGAATACCCAACTTCTTTAAAAATACCAAATAAAAGTAACTGAAATGACTGAACCAGCATACTGCGGCTAATTTGTGCAAAGAGCCGGTAAAATATTACTGATTGCACCTTTAACGGCAGGAACGGCTCGTCATAAAAGCCACCTGCTCTGCATCAACACCCGCGCTTGCTGCGCCTCATTGGACTCACTCCCGTCTGATTTTACCTAAATACTGCACGCGTGGCAGAAAAGCTGTTTAAATCATGTTGTTACTATCATTAAACGTGTAAACACATCACACGCCAAGACTCGGGTTATTCTGTCAGATTAACAGTTAAGCGCTTTAAAGTGAAGACATTTCTCTACATGGATTTGTTTAATAATCAGCTCATTCCTTCTCTGCAAAGTCCCGTGTTTGTTTTGTTAAGACATTATTTAGGTTTCTGCAGCTGGTGCCTCAAAATGATCACAGAACTGTGCAGATTTAGGTGCGTTACTGGAGGTCAGATTAATCACCTTTAAATGTTGAAGACTACTGCATTAATCAGGTTAAATAAAGTCATTATTATGCATGCAAGTGGTCTGTTATGGACGTACAGTCAGACTGGGACATGATTGGTTGCTGATCACCACCAGGACAAACGGTCAACACAAGCAGAGGTGTGTCTTAATCCTGCTGTCCGGTGAGTTTACTGGTGCATAGTTATGGAGCCGGTGTGGCGGTGTGAACAGCCTCGATGCGAAAGTCATATTCAACAGACAAGACGTTTTGGAAGCTCGGACCGGGAGGAGACGCCAACGGGAGCCAAGCGAGACGCGGCACATATTGAACGGAGCGTTTGCGGTTCGGCTAAAGTGACGAGTTAATGTTGATGCATTTGATTTGGCAACGGCAGCGACCGCTGTAAAGGAACGAAGCTGTAAACGGCCTCAAGTGTGAACCTAACCCGCAGGAGTGCATGTGAGGCGCAAAAACCATAAACACAACAAAAGTGCTCCGATGTGGCCTCGACTGGAGAACATAAACAAGGTACCGATTGCAGCAGTGAAGTAATGAAGAGACACGTTACCTGCAGATGTACCAGTTGGATCAACGATGAGCAGCTAGTGAGGCAGACGGAAATGTCCGAGGCAAATAGCTCTTCAAGTATGGCCACAAAATCTGTACAGCGTCATACAGCCAGAACTCTGGCCAATCAGCTGTGAGCTTCTTGCCTGGCAACACGCCTCTCCTGCCTCACTGCTCAGAGGAATCAACTGCTGTCATGGCAGAAAGTATTCTGTATAAAATATCGTCAGTCGTAAGCAACAACTGAATCGTGTTCGCAGCTTTGACTCAGATGCTTTCAAGCTGATTTGAATAACTTGAGCCACAAAAGGTCTGGTTGCTCTTCAGGAGGATGTAAAACAGACTCATTGCACACTTCAGTTTACATCCAGCGATTGAAATGAAATATTCTGCTCAGTCATCAGTTTGAACATTTCCAGAATGTGAGCTGCTAAAACGACTGAACTTACCAACATTTATCAACAACCCCACAGCTAACCCACCTCTGCCATGACAAGAGTTCGACCAACGTGATCAGTGAATACTTTGAGAGGCAGGAGGAGGAAAAGGTGCATCTCTAAAGACTGAAGCAGGAGTACGGATCCCTGCGTGAGAACCAGCACAGGAGTCTGAGGGATATTTGCTGACCAGCAGGTAGAGCACCAAAACAAGCCGAAGGAGCTGAGGTGAGATCAGCACGCTCCCTGCTCAACACCAGGAGTCTCTGTTACAGGAAAGGCAGAAACGGATTTAACGGCTGAACTGAGATCAGCTGCATTTGGGCTAACGGTTCAAAGGCAGGTTCACCTGGGAGGCAAAACAACACTGAGAACAATGGGGACTCTACCACGAACTCGAGACTCACTCCTACGCTGCGTTTAAAAACAGAAAAAAGGCACACGGCGAAGAACGAAGATGGAGGAGGAAAGAGGAGGGAAGGTAGTTCACAGACAGTAAAGCAGAGCGATCAGAAAGACGAGGGAAGGCGAGTGGAAACTGTATTCAGGGAGTGTTCTCTGCATCTGGGGTTTAGTTTCGTCTATAGCAGCGGGCCCAGGTCATCGCCGTCGCTCTGGGTTTTGGCAGGAGACTACATTCTGGGGTCGGGTCAGCGAGATGGGGCGGGGCCACTCCACAGCCAGGCATCACCTCCTGTAGGTCCACAACACCGACACTATCCCACTCCAAAAAAGGTTTGAAGAGAGAGACCGTACAAACATTTAAAAAAACAAACAGGTTTTCAAAGAGTTGTTTTTCATCGCTTCAGGAGGAAGTGCTCGCGCCCTCCTCGTTGGAGAAATTAAGGTGCAACTTGCAGAATGAAAAAATAAAAATAAAATTCATGTCCTCTATGGCAGCCTCATACAAACAGAGACAGGAGGAGCAGGTCCCCCCGCCTACACGCACCCCACCTTCGTCCAGCCAGTTCCCTCAAGTCCAATATGGTTTCAGCGTGGAGGTGAAGAGGCAGGGACGCCCCATCAGGTAAGGCCGTTTCTGGCGGTTCGGCAGGCAGGCGGGGGCGGGGTTAAAGGTTCAGGGGTTAATGTACAAAGATGTGCCTCAGTAGCTCATCAGCAGAAGGCCGCTGCTTAGTCTCTACAAAGATCCGTTTGAGGAACTCTCGGCAGTGGTCCGACACGTGGACAGGCAGCACAGGGTTCGTGGGCTGGGTGGCGATCTTAAAGATGGCTGCCATGGCCTCAAACTCCGCCCACGGGGGCCGCTGTGTCAGCATCTCCACAACGGTGCAGCCAACACTCCTGAGGGTGAACCAACAATCAGGAGAAGTGGACAAAATCTCTTTGTTAATACAATTTCTTACACACATTGTATCTTTGAACAGTGTCTGTTAATAAGTCCTTAACTGATCAGGATAGTTTTGGGGAAACCCAGGAATCCATGTAAGGTGTATTTGTTTTTGCAACCAGTGGAGTCGCCCCCTGCTGGCTGTTAAAATGAATGCATGTTTAAGGCACTTCTGCATTGGCTTCACTTTTCAGACCTGGATGCAACGTCCACTTATTTCCAGTCTATGATCTTACCAGATGTCCGCCTTCCTGCCGTAGCCCTCTCCACTGATCACTTCTGGGCTCATCCAGTAGGGGGTGCCGGTCACCGACATGATGCCTGTTCCTGACAGACAGATTGTCTGCAGCCGCCGGCTGGCCCCGAAGTCTCCCAGCTTCACGTTACCCACCGAGTCACGAAGGATGTTGGCCCCTGAACAAAGAAGAGCAAGAGTCACCCAGCTGCAGCTTTCTACCTTCATATTTGAAAATGATGTATATTCCTTAATTTCCTAAGACAAAAGGTTGCTTTAAATAGAAGACTTTGTGATCCACCAAGAGCCAGTAGCAGCTCAAAGCAAAATAAAATAAACAGTCCACCTCACCTTTGATGTCTCTGTGGACAATCATGTTGCTGTGCAGGTAAGAAACCCCCTCCAGGATCTGCCGCGTGTAGCGGCGCGTCACGTTTTCCGTCAGCGCTCCGTACGACTTCAGCTGGTCCTTAATGGAGCCCTTAGGGCCAATAAAAAATAAAATGTTTTTTCTTTCGTTACACATTTGCATATCCTCATCTGAGCTTGTTTTTACTCTCAGATTTTTATATAATTTGAAAGAAAATGACTCCGGCTTTAATACACAACAGAGACGATGTTGAAATGTGACATCTCTTTACCCGGGGAGCTACACAAAAAAACAGATTTATTTCTAATTTCCAATTCAAGCGAGCAACGATGTACTGCGCAGGTGACTGCTCATTCTGTAAATGATTTATTGCCATATTAAATCTTAAGCATTTACACACATTTATCTTCCCAGTAAAAAGTCAAAGAGCACTCACGCCAGGCATGTACTCCATGAAGATGGACAGCGTTCGATCCATTGTGTCTCGCAGACAGCCGTAGTACTGGACAATCCGCTCGTGGCACAAATTCTTCAGGAGCTGGATTTCACACTCCAACGCGCTCACCTCCTGAATGACAGAAAAAAAAAATAAAACATTTAATCTCTTCCTGCTGTTCTTCCATCTTTAACCCATCATACATGCACGCTCCCTGATAACTACCAGTCCCACGTGTCTGAGAAACTACAGAGCAGACTTTCACCTTGCTGGTCTCCGGACTATCTGGGTCAAACTGGACCTGTTTGACCGCCAGTTCTCGTCCAGTGTCGGCGTCATAACAGAGAAAAACCCGTCCGAAGGCCCCCTGCCCCAGGAGCTTTCCAAGACGCCAGTTGGTTGGTGCGCGTGGAGCTGGACACATGATACAACAGAGACACGGTCAAACCACTGAAAGCAGCTTGGTGCACTCGTACTGGCAAATAAAATGAACACCCGACTCACAGCGGCTGGGGGGGCTGATGTCCATTACAGACAGGGTGGGAGCGTTAGTCGGGTTGGGATTGGGTTCAATGTCGCTGCCCCTCCGCGGCCTCCTGGCGGGCCCCGGGGCCTCCTCTATGTCGGGGGTGAACACGCTGCTGCCACTGCTGGTGCTCGGCGACTGCTCGGTCGGGCTGAAGCTGACCGGCGAGCGGAAGCCGTGAATCTGCGTTCGCCGAGCTCGAGGGAAGGTCTTCCTCCCTGCCGAGCAGAGGAAGAGGAGGACAAACAATCAGGAAAATGAATTTAGTCTGGGTCATTCAGTAAGGAAAGTTACCCACCGTCACTGTAATCTTGAAGGCCGAAGGGAATGCCGTATCGTCGAGGGTACGTTCCACCTTTCCCCGACTTCTCAAACACTGGGATGTCGTACTCTAGAGAGGACGAGGAGGCAGATGAAGAAATTCGTGAAGAAGGGAACAAATGAGAAATGACCACCAGCGGCTGCAGGTGGGTGGATATAATTTAATATGTTTTGACGTTTTTGTTTCAGCAATGTAACGTTAGAATTTTGGGTTTAGGGTTAAAGTCAGCTTCTCTCTATGGGTAAGATTTTGTTTTATGTGTGAGGGAAAGCTTTTTAGTGGGCCTGGATTTTATTTGTCCAGACTGAGAAGTTGAAGACCAGTAGAGTTTTATTTTCTTTTTTAATTTAACACCTATTAAAATGTTGTCTGATATGGGGTTTTTTTTAAACATTTACCTGGAAAGTCCTGGTGGTTGTCTGGGTAGCTCTGCGCTCGGGGCATCCTGGACTTCGGGTAGTCACTGCACAATAAGAAAACAAAAATGTGTCTTGTGGCATATTTGTGTTCTCATTGTTCCAACAGTGAAGTCCATTATGATAAGCTGGTTTGCCAGTACAGAATTGACTTGACCAAGGCCTCTGAAGTCCACAATGAAAGTCACTGTCTTCTATCTAGTCAGCTTTCACACATCTTAGAGAAACTGTACTGGTTTTACACGTTTTAGCACAGGTAACTTTGGACTTGACGTACAGACACGAGCTTTATCATGTAGGAAATGATATTAAATGACTCTTAGCCCTCTTTATTTAGAATGATCAATGAAACACGAAGCTACTATCTGATGTTCCCTTAAGTATATTGTTGAATGAATAATATATTGAGGTGCTGACCTGTCCAGTGGGCTGTCTAAAGAGGGACAACTTCCAGACGCTGAGTTTTCTGGACTGCTCATGGACAGCGGGTCCAGCATCTAGAAGAGAAGAGAAGAAAGACGCTCAGACAAAAAGAGACTCATATCCTATCAGTCATCACATCCTGTCCCGTGTAGGAAGCCCAAATGTTATTTGATGTGAACACTATGTGGACACCCACATAGTGTTCACATCAAATGGTGGTTTCCCAACACAGTAGCTGGTGGAAAGTTTTTCAGCTTTGCTTTGGCGCAATAACTTGTAGAAGTTGATTAAAATTAGAGCATCCAACACATCCTGACTCCTCCCTGTTACCTGGTCCATGCTCTCCGGAATGAACTCTCCCTCGCTGTTGATGCTGGTGAAGGAGCCGTTCCTCGCCACCTGCTGGAGCGCGTCAGGAATATATCCTGGAGGAGGGGAGCTGCGGTCCGTCGAATGGGAGCCTTGGTTGGTCAGTGACAGAATTGAAGAGAAATATTTTTACGATTGAAGTCTAATAATTAATTGAAACAGTTTTGCGGTAGTCTGACAGCGAGACGTTAGTCACCTATCAAAGCCAGCATACTCTTCTTGTCAGCGACCCTGAATCCCGTGTTATCCAGCTCCTCGTGGGACGGCAAGAGGTCCATGTTGGAGGAAGAGTTCTGCAGAAGCAAGAAAAAAATCTAACTAAAAAGACTCTGAGGACTTTGCATCTCTTCCCATCATCAACATGTCTCTGTATCTTAAAGTTCAAAACGTAGGATCAAAATCAATACAGAGTTCCCCTGGAGTCTGACCTGAGAGGACATCTGGAGCACCAGGAGGATCTTCAGGCTCTTCATGTGAACGCTGCGATCCAGCAGTTCCACGGCCTTGTCAAGGTCATCCTGAGTAGTCAGTGGGATCACCAACTGCAAGAAGAAAAAACAACTTTGGTGTAGACGTACATTTTTTTAGAAATTCATTCAATATCAGTATTAAAAACAAGTAAAAAAAAAAAAAAAAAAAAAGTATTTTAGCTTCATACCTCGTTGTTGGTGTAGTGAAGGTCCATCGTCTGACCGAAAGCCACTTTAGCTTTCGACTTCAGGTCATCCAGCTTGACAGGTCGAGGAAACTGCAAGATCCTACAGAGGGAAAAAAAAGCAGTCAGAGGTCAGGAGGGCGGAGCTACAGGTCTGCACTGACAGCATTAGAGTGGAGAATCTGGTCGAAGCCTCACCTCTTCTCCCCTTTGAACTCGAACTTCACTCTGACATCGTTCTGTGGGAAAGATGGTTCGAAAGATCAACGAACACTGACGTGAGAGTCCAGACATTTCTACACAAAACACCTTTCCAAGAATCATAATACACAATATTTGATCAAGAACTTATCCAACACCAGCCACTGAACAGTGGATATGAACTAAATTAAGAACCAGTATATTTTATTGTCTTTCCTAAGAAGCATCCATCATATCTAAACCCGTCCCCTTGTATGGATTAACTTGCTGTTGCAACATTTTGTTGCCTTGAAATTAATAGGCGCCTCTTCCCTGGAAGGCCTTTACTGTGACGCATCTGCAGAAAGCTCATCATAAAACAATAATCAGTATACTGTAAGTGTAATCAATCTAAATTAGTGATTAAAAATGTCTTTTGTTAAAGATAAGATGCGTTTTTCCGGCCAATGTCGTGTTTATTTTAAACAGAGCGGTTACCTGGTTCTTGGGCGAGGAGGCTTTGGGTTTTCCCAGATCCGACAGGAACGTGGCAGGACGGCTAGAGCGGTGCAGTTCGGCCAAGTCCTGCATGATCGAGTTCAGCGCCTCCTGTTCATCTGGAGTGAGGAATAAAAGAGGTTTTAGCGAGCGCCAAAGGAAAATCATCAGCGCCAAAAAAAACAAACCAAACCAACACCTTTTAAATCCTCTGCGAATGGTTTTAATAGCCATTTATCAACCAACTGTTGAACAAGCAGAACATAAACTTAAATACGACATCTTTTCTTCCAGCAGTCACCTCTCCTCTCATCCACAGCCGCTGTATTTTACACATGCAGCTGGCGCTGGATTTATAAACCAGCTGCTGCGTTGGTTTAACTCAGACTGTATGGTTTGACTGCACCTGAACGCTCCGTTACGAAGCTCGCTCTAATGACTTCCTGTTATTTCTCACGTTATTATTCTGCGCACTACGTGACGCTCACCTGTTCCCGTTCTCGCCTGCCTGCTAATCTGCGCAGGGAGAGCCTTTCATGCAGCTGTGTTCTGCTGCGTTAGTTGCTCGTCAAAGTCATTTTTCGTTAACCAACCAATCACAGCCTGGAGGAGGTGGGACATTAAAAAAAGGTTGAGGCACTACAGCAGAATTTATAAATGTTTAACTCGTCGTTCTGTATGCACAGTTTTTATATTTGAGAAGTCAATTTGCATAAACAAATGACCATGTAGAGCATTTTTCTTGCACAATAATTTAGTGACTGAAATCAACCCACAGAAACTGCTGTTTTGTCCAACTGGAATTAATATTAGGCTACTAATGGTAAGCTATACAAGCCTGTACTATTATCTGAAATTATAATGAATACACAAACATTAGCACTAATCAAACCTTAACCACAGTGGTGTAGGTCAGAAAATGGTTTTATTTGTGACACAGCTGAATCTCTACTAATAAACTATCTGTGGGCAGATTATCCAAATAAAGTGCAACATGTTAATATATTATTATAATAACATTATACTTTCTATTTCATATATATATATATATATATATATATATATATATATATATATATATATATATATATATATATATATATTTTGTTTGTGTTTGTTTGTTTGTTTATCAAATGGTCAGAAATGACAAGGAAATGCATAGATTTCAGTCATTGCTTAACGCGTACCCATCATGCTTACTATCGCGCCAAAGGCCCATTCTGAGCAGTCTTGTATGTGTTCTTCCAGGGCCCCTCGCTTTTCCCAGTTTCTCCTTACAATCCCCTAGTAGACTTATCCATATTTAGAGCCCAACTTTGAGTCATTATTCACTCACTTCAATTGTTTTGACCTTAAGAGCATGCTCTGCTGTTTGTGAGTCACTCATTCAAGTGGTTACATCATCGCCCCTGCACCTGGCATCTTACTTTTCTGACCTTAGCATGTTCCTATTAACCCCAGACTCCCTGCTGATGGGGGAGAGGGGATTCCCCTGGGCTTTACTTAGCCTGAGGGCCACAGCAACCTCTGGCACACCACTTTATGTTTAAATATAATAAAAAGATTATATATGAATATACTAATAAAATTATATATAGCATGCATATATGTGTTTGTCTAATAATAAAACATACTGATATTTATAATATCCAAACTTAATATAAAAGGCAACTTATAGGCACATTTACATATAATCATTACCTTAACTTTTGGCCTATGTGTACATAATTACTATGTTATATTGGAAACTAATTTATAACACAACTTAGCCTTAATTTTTGTTTCTACAGGAGCATAAATATACACACTTGTTATTTCTATATGGTTTGAGAGTCATGACTTGATACAAACAACAGAATAATATTTTCTGCAGTTGTCTTGCAAACATGTTTTGAAAAAAAACATGCTATTTGCATTTAAGTACACAACACATCTACTGTCAAGGAAACATTGTTCAGGGAGAAAAAAAAAAAAAGCATTTCTTGGTTGGTAGGTTTGACACAAGAGGAAGGCGGCTTACTACCAAAAAGTAACACTCTCTTAAAATACACAAACACACATACCCATCATCATGGCACGGCGATTGACCCAGGAGGCCAGGAAAGAGGATTCTCCCATCAAAGGGATCCCTTTCTCCTACAACAACAAAAAATGACAACATAAATCCTGACATGCAGCTGATCTAACACAACTTAACAAGCTGCTGACTGATCAGCAGATCTGTGACTCTCTCTCCTACAGACAGCTGGAAAAACCCCACCCCTACAGTCACCAGCAGCCTAAGTTTGACCATCAAGTTCAAGTGACCATCAATAATGCAATATAATTTTCCTCAATAACAATATACAAATGTTCAACAAATGTTTGATTTAATTCATTTGAATCACGATCAAATTAGCACTTTTTCTATTCAGATATTTACATTGTTGAGGAAAAGATTTTACTTAATTTTACTCATGTATATTTGGAAAAGATCTGATCATAATTGTTTCAAATGTTCTACATCAGATTTGTTAAATGATCCACTGTTTGGCATCAAGTTTTTGTTTTGACCATAAAGAAAAGTTTAAAACCACAATCAACAAAATAGAAAAACGTGGATTTGGAGAATTGGTACATTGGTCCTACTTCAGAGCTTCTATTGTTTTTGAAATATTCTTGATTCTGTAATGTGAAAGCATTATAATGTAGCTGCTTTGTCGAGGTGGAGCAAATTTAAACTACTTTATAAAACTGCTGTGCAGTGTATATAGATATATATTAAACTGATAATAAAAAAAATAATAATTAGCCATTCCTCTACCATCTTTTGGGAAATACTAACAGTTATCAATAAATATGGTCTCCAGCGTTTCTTTTGCATAATCATCACTGACACATTTAAGTGTCAGATATAGTTTAAGTCGTGATGTTGTTACTCAGCAACACAACAGACAAAGACTGTTTCAGAGCACAGTGAGTCTGGAAATTAAGGTCCGGACAAGCAAGATGGCCTCTGCTTATGAGGAGCTGATCAAATATTGCTGACGAGAGTCTATGATCATCATTTATTGATCACTGTCTGCGAGTGACGTAAAATCTGACAACTCCATCACGTTGATAAAGTGGGCTGTGACATCAACTTTAGCTTAGCACTTTTAGCATTTTTCAAACAAAATAACATCCTTTGCAAACCACCGTGGCGAGCTGACTGGCCCATTAGCACTAATGTCGGAATGGTCACCGTAACGTTGACACCAAAAACACTGTTATGGCCCTCTGTGGGAGATAATTAGCTTCAAATTAACTTGTTAGCGTTAGCTCAGTAGCTTCGCATGCTAAACATCGACTAACAACTGTTGCTAGCCAATTTGGCATTACGAGCTAAGCTAAGTCGTGCATAGTGAATAATGTGTCATCTTGAAATATAACCGAAACACAGAGCTGGCTACTCATATCTTGCTGATAAGAGAAGCTAAGTGGCTAATGTGCAGCTAGCTGTCAGGCCAGGGAAGTTGACTAGCTAAGCAAAGGCTAAAGTTAACTAGCCGCATAGCAGCTATTCATTAACGGCCGTGAAATGCAACCGTTGGACGAGCAAATGAAAAGGTTTGAAGCAGTCGGTTTCGTCTGTATTATCTTACCTGGTGGCTTGGCTAGATCTGTATTCACTTCCTCATCCACAGGGCCGGTGACAGGAGCCCCGGGCCCCGCGGAGAGCCGCAGGAGGAAGCAGAAGTTTGGCAGTCCGCTCCCAACTTCACTCGAGTCCTGCTGGGCCACGACGACGACGACGACGAGGCCCCGACGGCTGTCAGTTTAACCCGCTGGATCTTTCCCGGCACACAAATGACGAGCTAAAGGTTAATCCAGCAAAGTAGCTCCGTGTCTGTGCGGTCGTAAAAAGGCAAAGTTAATCGACAGCTTTCATTCTGTTGCACTTTACAACCTGGTGGACGGTCGCTACACTCGCTGTAGCCAACGGGTAAAGAACTAACGGATACCGGAAGTGTGAGGATTATTCTGACAAAATAAAATCCCACAATGTTTTTGCCCATAGCGGCTATGGGGAAAACCCCTAGTTACGTGTTTTTAATTTTATTTTGACAGTCAAACACTGGAAATGCTATTTTTCATTTTGCCGTACTTGACAGGTCTTAACCCCCAAACCTCCAACAAAAACACAACCTGTGATGTCACAGATAGTACTGATTTCCTGGATCGCTATTAAATAAATTATTCCAGTATTCACCACTACAACCTTTGACCCAGAAACTGCCTTGTAAATCAGAATCAAGTTTACTGCCAGGTACATTTTAACACACGAGGATTTTGCATTATGTATGTATTGGTGCTTAACGGTACACATAAACACGAACATCAAAATATAAATATAGAAAAAGTAAAGCGCAAAAAAAAAAAAAAAAAAATGCACAAGGAATGTCCAAAACTTCACACAATATTAGCAATAAAGAGTTAGTGCAATAGTACGCAGTTCAAAGTTGTGTGTTGCTATAATGTGTGGGGTCAGGTGTGGTGGTGGTAAGAAAGTGTGTATGTAATGTGCATTATTGTTGTGTTAGATCATGTTTATAAACCCTTTTTATGGCTAAGAAACTGCATGTATGAAGCCATACCACCAAAATTCAAAAGGACTGCAACCTGCTGTTACTCATTGATTGACAGGTAATTTCACACACAGACTAGCTCTTAATTTAATATTACAGTAATTAATACGTTTTGTGAACACATAAAAACATACTAAACAGTGGGTTAGCTGAAATTTATGTGTTTAGAATATACTGTCTGGATTTTTTAAAAAGGGAATCTGCCATTTGGAGGGTAATTTAGTACCACAAACTGAAAACAAGTCTGATTCAGAGTGATTTCATTAGGATGCTATAAAAATAGACAGTCTTGGGAAGGTTATTTTGGAAATGTAATAGTAGTGTTACTATTATTATTATAAAGTACATTACATAACTCATTTGGCTGACACTTTTATCCAAAGTAACTTACAGTTGCTATACACGTCAGACGCCGCACGCCTCCAGAGGGTTAAGTGTCTTGCTCAAGGACACAGTAGAGGTTGTGTTGCAGTGGGAATCGCAAACTAAAGGCATGTGTCTTGTCCACTGGAACATCATCACCCAATGTAAAGTAACTTAATACATTGAATTACTTTTTGATTACTTTTCTAAATTTCTAATCAATGTTGTCAACTCTTAACCATTTTCAAAAGACAGGTTCAGAGGCAGTTTAACTGCCAGACAGGCAGCGCTGCAAATTGAAACAGGAGAAGTAATCAAAAGCATCAGAACAGCATCAAACTTTACTAAACTGATATGGCTGGAAATGGCAAAGGAAGATATTGTGCACATGAAAAACACGCAAAGCAACAAAATAAATGTTATCAACATATAGCCTTATATAACATTTCCATTACGACAATTGCATTTAAAATTGAATTAAACTTTGGCTACTTACATTAAAAAATATATCAAGACAGCTTTAACAAACAGCTTTAAATGATTAAAAATTTAATCACCATTTTTCAATAGAATTCTTGTATTGACCTTTGTGCGATTAGTTTTGTATAATATGCTTGTATATTATTGTATTTTAAATCAGTGATGTGAATGTTTTTGAATCTTTATACCCAACAAGGCTTTCCCATTGAAAGAGAGCATCTGGGAGACATTTATAAACAGCTGGACATGTTATTATAGGTGACATTTATGAATTGCCTTGCATTAATTAAACTTTCACACGTGTGCATCGTCAAACAAATACTTACTTTAAAGAAAACTGAATGCATTCTTTTCAATGCCTCGCACTGGAAATACTCTTATTTTGAAAGAAACCACTCGTAACACCACTTCCGGTTGATGGGGCATCTCACAACATCGAGCTAGCTGGAGCTGCGACTGTAAGCTAACGGCTACATCTATTGTTGATATATATTTAACAACACAAACAGAAGAAGAACATGTCAGATACGGTAAGATATAAACTTTAAAGAGGTTTTATTGTTTTTAGTCTGCATGAAATTGTAAACGAGACACATCAGTGTTTTTGTTTCGTATCTGGTTATTTAATATGCTAACTGTTAGCTCGTGTAGCTTCAGGCCCCATAACTCTGCTTATTTAGCTGTTTAGCTTTGCAGCTAGCTTTCGATTTAGCTCATGTTCAGAGTTCGGCTGTGAAACAACAAGCGATACCAACATTTTCAAACCCGAAACGTTCAGATATGTGAGTATTCAGTGTTGGCGACATTAAACCTGTTTAATGTTTAACCCTCCTGTTTAGAAATGTGTGTGGCGTTTAAATGTTTTCTGTTGCTGACGGTGTTTGTTTACGTTACATATGTTGTTGTTTTTGTTTTTGTTTTTTTTTAGGAGACAAAACCATCCAGCCAAGACGGAGGGGATAAGAAGGACGGAGAGTACATCAAATTAAAAGTGATTGGACAGGTGTGTATGTGTGCTGGGTCACTGAGATAAACACGTGAAGCATGAACTTAAGTTGTTTATATATTTACTTGTCTCTCACTAAAACATGGCACTGGGTAAAAAAATACTCTACTTAATCAACATTATCTGTTCAAGAATGCAGACACTACGTGAACTTTTGTGCTAAATGTCACATGTAGGCTGTGGTTGCCATTTTACAAAGGGATTTACAGTGTGCAAACTGTTTTCCTTGTGAAATTGAGTTATTACAAAAGTAACAGTCACCCAGAAAGTAAAACAAACACATCACATACATATATATGTATGTATGTTGTCAGAATAAATTCAGAGAAATTCAGTTGTATTGGCATTTTTATTTGATGGACTTTGTGAATTAAAGCTGAAGTGAAATGGGATGTCCATTGTATAAACAACATCAGTTCATTTGTTACATGTTTTGCTTTGGGGAAGTTTAACATCTTTAGTAGGTGAGAGGAACGATGTATGAAGTACAATCCTTTTAAAGAGTAGCTAAAATTACATTATTTAAACTAAACGATTACGAGTTTGTGCTTTGGTTTTAATCACATAACAGTAATAATTATCTCAATATAAATTTCTTCAATAAAAATATAACAAATGTTCAATAAATGTTTGATTTAATCCATGTGAATCACCAACTATTAAGATATTTATCTTATTGAGGAAAAGGAAGTGAAAAAAGAGTTTTGTTTAATTTAGTCATGCATATTTGTTTAAAAAAAGATTTTATCATAAATGTTTTGAATGTTCTACCTCAGATTTGTGAAGTAATCCATTGTTTGGCCTCAAGTAGTTGTGTTTGAAAAGTTTAAAACGTAACTAACCATCTGGTTTCTTCAACTTTCACTCAGGAACAAAAATCAGCCTTTAAACTTGAAAGAAACATTTTTGAACACCTCATCATCACTTTCTGTTTCTGCCCACAGGACAGCAGTGAAATCCACTTTAAGGTGAAAATGACGACACATCTGAAGAAGCTGAAGGAGTCTTACAGCCAGAGACAGGTATGAGGAAAGAGGGGAAGTTATCACCAGCCACTCCCTGTTACTGAATGACAGAAGTTTGATTCCCCGCTATAAGAGAAGCACCTCACTTTTTAAATACTAGAGAAGCATCTGGTGATTTACTGGGTGGCCTTTTGTTTTTAGATGTTGAACTCCAGCAGCACCAGAAGCCGTTCTTTCTGAATGACGTGTGGTGTTGTGTTTCTTACAGGGTGTCCCAGCAAGCACGCTAAGGTTTCTGTTCGAAGGACAGAGAATCGCAGACAACCAAACTCCGAAAGAGGTAAGACACGTCTTCATCTCTCTTTACTTGACCATCCTTTTGTCCCTTTACTGAAATTGATATTGATCTTGAGTGTCATGTCTTTCTTTGAAGATATACAACTATGTTCTTTTATACACGTGCCTCCTTTTATAATAATTTAAAGGTCCCCCGAAAGAGCATTTAACCAACATGATTATCCAGATTACTCTGCTATATTTTATGATCATGAGGTGTGTTGAAAATTCAGGGGACATTTATATCGCCTTTATATCGCCGCAATTTTGTGCATTTTAAATAAACATTTTGAATATTCTGAGCTACATAATAATACATGTTATTTGAAAAAAATCAGGTGTTTGTACACAGCACTTGCTCCACCCGCCACACAACACTACTCCATCCGCTCCAACAATGATTTGCATGTCAGTTAATGTTAAATGACTTGCCTGCGAACATTCAGCTTACTTTTTAGTTCACCAAGACATGCTGCTGTTGTGATGTTAGCTATAGCAGCAGGTGAGTTGTGAGTATCGCAGTCTGAAGCTGGTGTGTTGCTCTGGGACCGTCTCGTCCTCTCTGCATGTTAGCTTCGCAGCAGCAGCTGTAGCCACAGTTTGCTAACCCACAATTTCGCTGCATTACTTTCTGTGTTGTTGTTCGCTCTTCGTCGTGGTATTTGTCATGAATTTGTATTTTTCCAGAATCGCGTACTCCACCCTTTTTTTTTAAAGGTCTTTTTGTCTGCACATCTTGAACAATTCATTGCCACATAACAGCTTTAAAACAAACAAATGTAAATGTTCATAAATGTTTCAATATCGGCAAAAACTTCGGTACACAAGGATGAATTTGATGTAAGCAAAACACGTGTTATACACATAGAGGGGGGAGTTTACAATGACCAGGGTTTGTCAAAACTGGGGAAGTTAATGTCTCTCCTGTTTGTTCATGCCAGCTGGGGATGGAGGACGAGGACGTCATCGAGGTTTATCAAGAACAGACCGGCGGACTTTGGAAGAATTAAACCTCCTGCATTTCTAAATCTTTCTTTTTTTTTTCTTATTTTGTATTTTATTTTGTATGTATGTACGTATTTTGTGTTCCGTTTCAAACCATCTGGATCAAATCTGACTCTTATCAGGGCTTCCATGTGTGAGGGCACGAAGGTGAACAGACTTGAGGTAAGGACGAGGAAAAGGACAGCGGCTCTCTGCTTCGCTGAAGTGCAGGGATTCTCGTGTAGTTGACCCGAGCTATAGCGTTCACATGTTGCACCTAAATTTACAAAGACAAACATCTTGTTTTTGTTTGTTATGCTGTCTTTTTGGGGTTTCAGCAGAGGAAATAATGCAATCAAGGAACAATCGGCATTAAAAGGAATAGTTCCAAAAAGGACAAGGTCCTCTTCATCAAATCACGCTTGCAGTCGCAAGACAAGTTGACGTTATCACAACATGATGTCAGAAAGTTGTACAGCTTTGTCTCCGCTTTCCCCGGAATATTTTAGCAAAGTGCTTATGGCCTCTGAGTTTGAGGAGGCTGAATCAAACCTGTGCCAGCTGTTCCTTTAAATTTGTATCTGGCAAGCAGGGATTTAAAAAAAAATAACAATACTGGAACCCTCTTATTGTACAGAGCAAAAAAAACAAGTTTGCTGGCATTCCTGTTCTATTTGTTAAGGGAACATGACAGATGTTTGTACACGCATAGTGTATCTTATGTTCAACATTCAGGGCATTTAGGCTCACCAGAGAGACGCTTCAGTCCTCCTCAGTACCACACAGAATGACGAGGAGGTTGTCAACAGCCTCTCTGTGTGCCATGTTGTGAAGAACTGCACCCTCACTTGTAAAATGATGATGATAATTGACCTGTTGCGTTAATAATTGAGATTTTAAACACATTTTCAAATGATAATTGTGCTTTACTTGTATATGTTGTATTCAGTATTAGTGTGTTTAAATGATATGCCATGTGTATATCTCCAATGTCATATTTTATTTATGTTTGAGGGATTATTTCTGTATTGATATATCTAAATAGACGCCCGTTACTTTAGTATTTTACTCGCAGACGGTCACGCATTATTTTAAACTCAGATGATTTTGTTCTCCAGCAGTTTGTTTAAGGAAACAAGTCTTTCAACTAGTCAGAATAGTCATCTACAGTGACATGTTATACTGTGGTGTCAGTGGTTGTTTTTGTTCTGCAGCTTTTCTTTTTGTTTTTTAGAACGAAACTCTTAATCTGTGTTCTGTATGAAGTTCCTCGAGAAGTGTAAGATCAGCAGCAGCAGCCCCCAAACTGTGTCGTCTGTGTAATTAGTGTGAGGAGGAGGTGAATGAGAAACAAAGATGTTTGTGTGATGGAGATGCTCCACTCCTGAAGGGTGAAATAACCAACAGCAACAACAACAAAAAAAAAGGCTGTGTTGATGTCTGCAGACAATCTGGTTATTTCACTCTTCACACCTGCTTGTGAGGTTAAAGCAGCTGTGGTTGGTGGTTGAACCTCACCTCTGGGACACTTTTGCTTTCAGTGTGCACATCAGCTCTCTCTACTGCCATTCATAATGTTTCTCCATTATTAAAAAATAGCATGTAAAAAGCAACTTTAAAGGACACAATTATGCTTTTTCTAAACGAAGTGAAGCAATGAGTCACAGCTCATCAAATGGTTGTCATTTCCCAGAGGTGTGTGTGCAGCAAAGACTGTCCTTTTTTAAAAGTAAAATATTTCCTCAATTGGATTTTCTCAACCTGACCGACTGTTATCATCTTTCCTTCGTGCGTCCACTCCACACAAACGCTCAGGCATGAAGGGGCCATAGCACTGATCTCGGTGAGGTGAAGGGACTATTCATCATTAGAGGAACATTGATACAGATGGTTTGAAATTCTGGAGATGAGCTTTTTGCTTTTTTTTGAATAAAATATTTAAGAAAATACTGCTTTGTATTGTTTGTTTTGCTTCCTCACTGTATCTGTGGTTTTAGTGTTTCTTGTCGTAGAAAGTCTGTTCCTAAATGTGTCCACATCCAATAGCTACACATTATAGTTAAAGGAGAAAGACTGCGATTTGTGCTTAAAATGAATGAACACGCCCTGATTCATTAAAAGCATAGTCCTGTTTTTGCCGCCTTTATTACAAAACTAATCCAGCTAATTTACACTGCATCATAAAAGAAAGTTCAACAAAACCAGTTAAATATGATTATCAAGCTTTACATTGACTGTCCTTTGGCTCCTCCCTAGTTTAGAAAAAGACACGAGGCTGGGGTGATTTCCACTGAGGCACTTCTTTTGGGCAACTTTTAATAAAAATTTAATGACACTGAGCTGGAAGCCCGTATTAATAGACCTCCAGAGAATACAAGTGTGTTCATACACACTCCCCAATTAAGAGTGGCTCCAGAGGTGCTGACTCAGAAGAAAGAAGCTGGTAAACAATCTGCATTTGCACCACAGTACTGACGCTCCCACACAGAACCACATTATATGCAAAGGAATAAGGTTTAATTCTAAGATCACCAATACTACATGTGACCTGTACAGAGCCAAGGGAAGCCATCTAAAGAGGATGTGTAAATTACAAGAGAAAACCACCATTACACAGTCTAACAAACATGTAAAAAGACCAGAATTTCACATTTGCATAAAAAAAAACTTACTTATAGACATTTGTTATTGACTTTACAGTTTTGAAATTGCTGAGATGAAAACCCAAAATGCATGATCATTTCATTTTTCAATCTAAATCAATATCACCGCCATATTTCAGGCACTTAAATCAACAAAAACGGGTACATCTTTGTTTGTAAACTGAGTAATGCTGGTTTCCTGTAAATGATACATAATGTGATAACACTTACACTATATTATGTACTAATACGTCATGTACTCTGACGAGGAAGTGGCTGTGTTTGTGATATGAGGATTGTGTCCCACTCACACCATGAAACCACAGTCAGACCTCCAGACCTGACTGATGGTTGAGGGATGCCAAAGCTAAATCCTAGGCAGGTGAACACCAGTGGTCTGCAGTCTTGAGGGTCTAACTAGGCTACTTAAAGTAGCAGTACAGTGCAGCTTTAAATGTAATATTTGAATACTTAATACGTATGCCATAAAAGAGTAAATTACATTATTGAGAGAACGTTGGGGCTATAACATTAAAACATAATGGCCTCCTTTAGTACTTACAGCTTTGAGCCGGTACATTCATTTCAGGAGATGTTACCTAAAAAACAAAAAGAAATAGTGAACAAAACTGAAAACTCAATGTTATTAAATCTCCCTCAGGCAGTCCGAGGCACTAATGCACTGGCATTATGTTTGTCTGCTGTCAAGAGATGAGTCATTCAGTTCATCCTCCCCCAGAGCATAAAACTAAATGAGTCACTGAAAGCAATCAAGGAGCTGTAGTGTTTTTACTGCTTAAATAAATCAAATCAGTCGCATATAATGGACGATGGAAACAGATTACTAACCAGAAGCAGATTCAGAAAGTGCCTCGCTTTAATATCATTTTGTGTAAACATCTTTTTTTAAATTTTTCTTTCTTCAATTTAATCTCAATTTGTAAATGAAACTCTTCATATTTTAAAGTCGTCCCTCGGATTAGTTTCCTCTGTGAGTGGTCCCTTTCACATTCAGGCATATGAGTCACTCTCAAAGAGTCCATCACACGTGTTCGTGAGACTCAAACGCTGGGTTATGTTTCCCCCCGGAGCTTACTAAAGCTCTGTCAGTCACAGATTGCACAGGAAGGTCCAGCTGCAGGTCTTTTCTCAGCTGGATCCTGGGCTGTGATCTCAATGGTAACCTGTATTTACAGAAAAGAATCCCAGAGACAATCATTAGCACTGTCCCCACCATCCCGGCCCCGATGCCACTCCCCACGTGTTGAGATTCAGGAGCCTGGGGCATTTTAAACTCAGGGGGGAACTTGATGGTCTGATTGGTCACTACCGAGCACAGGTTCCACAGGAGAGGTATGAGTGACATCACGGCGGCCAACAGGCACAGCGCACCGGCGGTGAAGAACCCCAAACGGATTGGCGAGCTTTTCTCTATCCCAAAGTAGACGTTCCTCAAGGCGTAAACACCGCCAGCGTTCCCACAGAGCCCCACTAGCAGAGACAGGATCATGAGAACCTGACCTGCCACGATGTCCGGCGGCGTGAAGTCCTCCGTCAGGCTGATGGACTTGCAGTACATGACCTTAAAGCCAGGGGTCACTAAGGTGTGGCTGTTGAAGCAGACCCTCCAGACGCCCACCCAGGCCACCCCGGAGCTGATGAACTCCCTGTCAGACACCACCCAAACCCTCCACTGGATGAGTCCAAGGGCCATGGCGGTGGTCGTCCAGCCCACACAACCGAGCCAGAGGGCGCCAAGCTGGGCGTGGGCGGTGTGAGCCAGGTAGGTCATAGCAGTGGAGCCACGATAGAGCCTCAGGCCACTAAAGAAGTCCTGATCCCACCCAAACTGGGCATCGTCAGGAGATCAAGGCCAGGTGGAAGGTGTCGCCACTCTAAGCGTCATGCTTAAGAATCCCACATCTTTTCTCTTCGGCACAAGAGGTCATTCATGATCTTGTAGTCTTTTTTGTTTTCCTGATGCTCTCTTGACACCTGGGTTACCTGGCAAACAAGCACCTGCAGCTCCCTCTGAGAGGACAGAAACACAGACACAGCTATTCATGAACAAAACAAATTCTTTTATGTTTTGTTGAATGGTAAATATTCAAAACCAATAAAAAGCCACAGTGGTAACTTGCTAACAAGCCTAACATTACAGACGCCATCATGTTTACAGAACTTTGAGCATGTGCTAGCATAATAATGTTAGCAAGCTGACAAACTTAAGTGTTTATTATTGACTGCAAACATCTTCCTTTTAAACTCCCTGTAGTTGTTGTTATTATGCATGTGTGGGGAAAGTATGCTGACATGTTCCTCACGCACTGATCTTTACATTTTCTTTTAGATTGAAATATAAGATTTCTTTAACATTGGTTGGGAAAAACAAACCTTTTCTGGGTCACCGCTGAAAATATCTATTACACATGTTAGCTGATAAGATGAATGTTATAAGATGCTAATGTTAGCATGTTATCACGCTGTTGTTTCAGCTTAGCATTCAGCTCGACACACAGCTTAGACTGATGAATGCTGACAATGTCGAGCTGAGCCTGACAAGCTGAGTCTGAGAAGTCCTAAAATAACTGTTCTATTTATTGATACCATGATGAATACAAATAATGTTGGGTCTCTGTAAATAAATAAGAGTTTGGTCTAGACCTGCTCTGAAAAGTCAGCCCTGAACTTAACCAGGTATTTTTTGGCCTGAACCTAACCAGGTATTTTAGGGGCCTAAACCTAATCAAGTATTTTGGGGGCCTAAACCTAACCAGGTATTTTGGGGGCCTAAACTTAACCAGGTATTTTTGGGGCCTAAACCTAACCAGGTATTTTTGGGGCCTGAACCTAACCAGGTATTTTTGGGGCCTAAACCTAACCAGGTATTTTAGGGGCCTAAACCTAACCAGGTATTTTAGGGGCCTAAACCTAACCAGGTATTTTGGGGGCCTAAACCTAACCAGGTATTTTAGGGGCCTGAACCTAACCAGGTATTTTAGGGGCCTAAACCTAACCAGGTATTTTAGGGGCCTGAACCTAACCAGGTATTTTAGGGGCCTAAACCTAACCAGGTATTTTAGGGGCCTAAACCTAATCAAGTATTTTTGGGGCCTAAACCTAACCAGGTATTTTTGGTTCCTAAACCTAACCAGGTATTTTTGGTTCCTAAACCTAACCAGGTATTTTTGGGGCCTAAACCTAACCAGGTATTTTTGGGGCCTAAACCTAACCAGGTATTTTTGGTTCCTAAACCTAACCTGGTACTTTTGGGGCCTAAACCTAATCAAGTAGTTTTGGGGCCTAAACCTAACCAGATATTTTGGGGTCTAAACCTAATCAAGTAGTTTTAGTGCCCAAACCTAACCAAGTGAAATAAGTGGAATTGGCATTATGTAATAAATTGGATCGATCCACTGCAGGGATCATGTTTGTATCAATAAAAACTTTTATAATTCTGCGGTTAAAGCCACATCTGAAAAGAAAACTTTAAATTTCACACAAACCTCTCCCAGACTTCAACAGAAACTCATGGTGGAAAACACTTTTATACCCTGCGGGTGCAGTTTTATGAGATGTTGATGATGTATGAGACAAAATTAGACACTCACGACTAAGATTTATGATGGTTGGCTTAAATTAGGTTAATCAAATATTCTTGTTACACTACACTGAAATGTACATATTATTTTAATTATTGTCTTATTCCAATAAGATTACTAATTAAATTTCTTGATTCCTGATCAATTAATATTCAACTAATAAAAGCAACATTAGAGGAATCCAAAAATAAGGAATGAGAGACAAAATAAAGTGGTTGTCTATGGTAATGATAAACACACTCACAATCTACAATCTTTGATGACATGTGTAGCAATGAGAAAACCATGTTCAACTACATCAGAAAAATTATATCTGCCTTTATTTTTCTTATCAGTTTCTTCACTTCAAAATGTAAAAAATGTAAATCACAAATAAACAGTATCTTCCCGCTGTTCAAAATACAGATTTAGCAAATAAGGCTTCTGCTAAATTAACTTATAATTCACAAAATGATAAACCTGAAACCTACTCTGATGTGAATGACCACACAAGAATAAAGTAGGTTTAAAAGATTTTACACAACTTAAATCAAAGTCAGACTCTTCATGTCATCACGTACCTGAGTGTTGTTTTGTTGAGCACCTTCTGAGCTGTCTTCACACTCTGAGACTAGAAAACAGACCTAAAGCAGGGAGGTTTTTTATTCACAGATGCATTTCCTCATCTTGCTACTGATAACCTAGATGCGGTTTCCCGTCATGTCAGGAAACTGTAAATGATTGACAGCATATTCATAGAGTATGGCTCTGTGATTGAGAGGCAAGGTGTTAATTCAGTGTACTTTCTTTTTTTTAACACGTGTTAACCATCACTGCGTCTTATAGGATCATAAAATAAATCAGCTTTTTCCTTTTATGGGGAAATGTTCTTTCTGTTGCAGGGCGATTTGCAGATTTGCTGAAAACAATGTGATTGTTTTAAAAACCTCACTAATAATTTAGTTCCAATCACAATTACATTTATGTTGATCATTATAGTTGTTAAGTAATAAATTAACCACAGCAGCCTTTAGGCTGCCTGCTTATTTCAGGGCAAACGTGTTAAAAGCTGAATAAATCTGTTTTTGTAAACTGATGTTTGTGAAAAGTATAATTGTGTGGGTGAAGGTAATTTGACAATTCAATGTGGACGGATTACAAAATTAGCATTTGCTCTTCAGCAGCTGAAAGGAAATTGGGTTTCTGACATACCTCAGATAAAAAACTTAAAAACATTGTGTATTTCGGGTGTGTGGGCTGAATAAAAGCTGAAATTAAACTAAATATCTGAGTTTTTTTTAAAGTGTATACAGCAGCACTTTGGCCAACATTACAGTGATTTGTTGAATTTGTGTCAAAAAATCTGATTCATGGGGAAACAGATAAACTGTGTTATGTCCAACTTGTCTGAGCATGAGGTGAACATTGTGAAACAAGCAACATGAGCCAAAACACCTACTGTTTAATCCAGTTTTGCCTCGAGGGCTACATGAATAACTCCCTTCACGGTCCAGTAAAGGAACTGTCCACATGTTTTTTTCCCCTTCTATATGCAGCAAAGAAAAATGCGTGATGTATGTTATTTTTAAAAGCAACTTATTCTACTTAAAATTACTTGATACATTTAAATTTATTTATTTATTTTTAATAGTGCAGATCTTTATAGCTATTGTTTTACCGAAATCAAACTAAAACAGTACAGAAGCATGTTTTATTGGGCCTCTAAAGTACAAAGTCATGGCTACGTAAGAGGAACTTGTGGGTACACGATGTTAAAACATTCTGTGTGTAAAAGTCCAGGATGTGGGTGAGATGATGTTTAGTATTTCACAGAGTTGAGCAATGAAAGTACGTCATCAGAGATCGTAAACAACAGGAAACTTCTTCTGCACCTGTATTCTATAATGTAGTGTAACATAAGTTATATAACATATATATATTCATGTCAGTATTGTGATCTCTGTATTGTTTTGTCATAAAATAAAGAACTTCTGGTAACAGATTTGGCAATAATCCTTCCTCGCCGGTCTCTTTCCGCTCCAACTCGGCCCAACCTAAGCAAACAGTATCAACACTAACTACCTTTGGCTGTTTCAAAGGTTGCAACATAGAATCAGAGTGATATAATAACAATAGTAATCATAATAATTATAGACTTTATTGATATAGCACCTTTCAGAACTGCTACAAAGTGCTTTACAGTAAAATAAAAAGAAATTAAATTGCAGCAAAACATTAAAGAAAGTGATGTAAAATAGTTTGCAGCCCTGATCTCCTCATGCAGGTCATTCCACTCTGAACTGCAAAGGCTGTGTAACCTCCGAGTATAAATCTGGACCTTGAAACAACCAGGATCCGAGGATCTCAGGGAGTGGAAAGGGGCATAGGGCGCGAGAAGATCTGCTAGAGAACTTAGGGCTATAGGCCTCGCAGGGCTTTTTTAGGTAATTAATAATATCTAGTTGGTCTATGGAAGCTAGGATCAGCGTCAAGTGATCAAGTTAAAATCCTAGCAGTAGAGCAGGTTGAGCTGGAGACGGGAGAGGGAATTACAGTAATCTAACTGAAAATTTGTGAAAGCATGAATAACAGTCTCCAGATTTTAGGCAGAAAGAAAAGGTCTCATCTTGGAAATGTTTGATTCTAAGACAGTTTCTTTGTTCATGAAATATCACTGTCATGTAAATAATTATGAGCAATTAATTCAAGTCGGGGCAGAAAACCCTCTAAAGCAGCGACCAGACAATAAAACCCAACACGTTGTTTCGGGTAAACATTGGAGACACATTCAGTCTGTATATTGTGGGCATATTAAAGGGACAGTAGGTGATTGTAATCCAAAACCCTTTGTGTTATATTCCGCAAATATTTCCTCACTGTTTACAAGCGCTCTCTCTCTCTCTCTGAAAATGGAAAACAAAGAAAATGGTGTGGACGCTGTTGCAACAGGTGCTGTTAGTGCTTGTGCTCAGGAGCAGTGACAGAGAGAGTTCTATACACCAGCACATTTGAACGTGCTGGACTCAAGGCACTGAGAAGAAGGACAGATGGCTGAGAAAGAGCCAAAGAGGAAAAGGTCTGAAGAGTTTAAACAGAGAAGACAGTTAAAGACAAGGGTGAAGACGGTGTTAATCTTGGTGAGCTGTTTTAACGCTGGAGAAACCTCCAAGATCTGGATTCAGGATGGAGCACTGAGGGGAGGGGTGAATTTGTTTGGGTAGTTCAAATATCAACAATCCTTCTGCAGAATCACTTCTCTCCATTTAAGACATCAATAGAAAATCAGCATTTTAACTTTAAACAGCCTGGTTAAGTCTCTGATTGACCAAAAGTACGGAAACATTTTACATCCCAAACAGTTCAAACTGAGATGTTGTTTAGTAATACTCTTTGGATTATGAAATTGAGTGTATTAGCATGTTCCAATGTTGTGTTGACACTATCCCCACATGCTTAAATTTTTTTTTATCCTAAAGGGGAAATGTGTTAGATTTCACGTAATTAGGAGCAGTTAGCGGTTACCAAGCAAAGTCCCCACAGATTGAGCTAATAATGACACTATGTTTTAACTTGCTCAAGTTAAGTTAAAATGTGCACCATCTGCTCTTCTTTAATTCACTTCACTGTCTTCAAAAGCAAATATTTTCAAAAATATTCTCATGTGCTTCATTAGCCTAGCTTAGCACAATAAATTGGAAGCACGGCAAAACTGCTATAAGAGTACAAAATACTCTTTCCAACGAGTCCAAAGCTTCCTTACGTTAACTTTGTATTATTTCTGAGCTGGTGTAGAAACTTTTAGAAATGTACAAACTAAACACAAGGTGGGCTATAATTTAAATATCTGTAAATGGGTCCTTAAAAGTTTGATTTTCTTGAAATAAGTTTTTCAGTGGGTTATTGACAGGTAAAGTAAATTTATGACTTGATAAAGTCTCGATAAAGAGATCTGTTGCAGTAACAAGACATAAATTTATTAGGTATAATAAAAAAACAAGACTGCATCTCTAAACTTTATAATTTTATTGCTTTGAAAGTTGGTGAAAGAGTGCACTGCATAAATGAAGTGGACGCAGCCACGTGTCAGTCCGTGAAATTCACAGTGGTGGGAGGCTACAGTAGGCACGTCTTCAAATAAATATATCTATATATATATATTTAGAGAGGCCCCTGTATGGACCAAACCAGAGAGTAAAGTGCTAAAACTATTAGATTAACCTCAGAAACACCAGCTCTGCCTGAGGCAGGAAGTAGAAAAAGGTACATCTGTCAGGAATCTGCTGGTACTGAGACAGTCTCCTAGTTTTTAAGATGGGAGCTTCAGCTAAAAGCACCAAGTGTGAATGAAAAACAATCCAGGGAATATTAGCAGTGTATTATCGTGTAGAAAAACAAGTAGTAGCAACGTCTGTACTGCTGGAACAAGTCAGCATCGTCTCTATGAGAATAAAGTCATCAGATTCACCTCTTATTCTAGCACAAAGAGTTTCACTCCATAATGAGATATTTTGACAATGTGATATTTACCCTTAGGGAATGATACACTGCACAAAAAGAAGAGGTGGTCTGTAGTAAAAGCAGGAAAGATTACTTAATATCATAGTTGACGAGATGAAAACACTTTTTAAAAAACCTGTAACCTAACAATAGATTTATAGCATTTTGGAATCAAACTTCATTTCATTAGAAAACAAAAAGTAGGTCATGAGTGAAAATAAATTACCGGGGAAACATTTCCTCTCTTTCTCCACAGAGGCTTCCAAAAGAGCTACAATAAATTACTAGAAAATATTACTTTAAAACTTAAAACACATCACGTGATGATAATTAATTACAAACTGAGCCACGTCCAGCAGGAGGAGCTCATGATGCGCCTTAAATACTACTATTCAGAAACACAAATAATAAAAGGGAGACTGGAAACACTGTCAGTTCACCTTACATCACGTCCCCATCTTCATCTCTGAGGCTGCGCTGAAATGCAAATACATACAGAGCTCAATTAAATATGATTTAAGCCTTACGCTATCTAAAAATCAGTGTTTCAGCATCAAACACTTTCTGGAGAATTACCGCTCAACCTGGTGTTAAAAAGGCCTCCAACTGTGACCCGTTTTTACAGAAATAAAATGCTGGTTGTGTTTGATTCCTCCACACATAGATGCTTATGTATTATAACATTGAAAAAGCGCCATGGGGTTGTGTCTGAAACATCAGCAAATCAAAAATACTCTGGCTTTGGAATACTTAAAAAAGAGAAAACTCATTGTGCAAAAATCTGGCCTCAAAGAAGCAGTCTTTGTTTTTTTAATCACTTATCTGTATAATTGACTCATCTCAGTTCCTAATTCAATTCCTGAAGCTCCTTAGCTTCGACAACTATATCAGAGCAGCGGCCTCTGCTCCAGCGGCAGACTGTCCACCAGGCACTTCAGCTGCTCCTCGCCCAGCTTGATCTTGTCCTCTAGTTTACGCTGCTCGATGATGAGGGCCGACTTCATCTTCACAAAGTGGCGGTAGTCGTCCAGGCTCTCCGCTTCCAGGTGGGCCTCCATGATGCCAGAAACCAGACGCTCCCGGCGGTCCAGGTTCTCCTTCAGCTCCTTGGCGTCCTCGTGCTGTTGCATCAGCAGCTTGCGCTTCTCTGTCAGGGTTCTCTGATGACGGATGGATATTAGAAATTATTCAGGATGTACTTTATGATTTATCTGAACAGATTAAAGATCCTCCCCCTGCCCTCACGTGTACCTTCTCCTCCGGCGGGGCTTCGTCCTCCAGGCTGTTGAGAGCGTTCTCCACCCGGGCGAGCCGCCCCGACAGCGACAGCAGCAGGCTCACCACCTTGTCCAGGTCGCCCACGAACATGCGGAACTTGTCGAGCTGATTGGGCTGACAGAGGCGCTGCACGGTGGCCTCCACCTCACGGCCCAGAGCCTCATTGTCCTCCACGTCTTCCTGCAGGCTGTGCCGAGCTTCCCGCAGCACCCCTAGCTTCTCTGCCAGGCTGGAGATCAGCTCTTGCTGCAGAGCATGAAGAAAACAGATCCAGCAAAACACAAAGTTTTCTTATTCCACCTTAAAGCAAATCAAGTTTCCACTTACAGACTGTTAAATATTCTTTCTAATTTCTGTTAAGACTGACAAATTGAGGCTGATTAACATATTCCATGCTGTCTGTCTGTCAGTGGGAGAGTTTTACCTTTTTACTGGCGAGGTCGACGTCCAGTTCATCTTCAGAGTCCTGCTCCTCCATCTGCTCCTGCATGTCCTTCATCTTGATGAGGAGCTCAGCTTTGGGAGCCGACGTGTTGTAATAAGAGGAGCTGGGGACCAGGGAGGCTGCAGCTGATCCAGACAGGTCCTCCTCCTCCCTCCTGATAACACACACACACACACACACACACACACACACACGCTGGGAATTAAAGTCATATTTTTAGGAAATGATGCTGCACATTTGTGCACGCAGTCTTTGAAATGTTTAACTGAAACATGTTGCTGCTTTTATTTATGTTCTTGCATAGAGACCCTGAATAAAAATCCTTCTCTCACCAACATAGTGTCTTACTTATGACACCAAGACAAACATATTTATGCGTGTGATTATTCTAAATGCATTTCCCCTATATTTGTAATGCCAAATTGTTATGATTACCATTAAAGATAATCGAGACATTTGGGAATGACATAATAAAGCTTACAACAAGCAATAGCTGGAATACACACAGATCTAAAAATCCATCCGTTTCTGCAACCGGCAGCTGAAAATTGTCTTCACTTTAAAAAAACAAGCAAAATATTGTTTTGGAGGTGATAACTGCAATGAGACATTTGTCCACCAGAGGGCAGGCTGAGCGAAGGCTGAACAGGCTGCACAGGAAAAACAAACCTCAAACTTCAGCTCACTCATTACAGAGCTGTTAATTTAAAAAAAAGTGCATGTCTTTAACAGTGAAATTAGTTTAATTAGTTAATTTAATTTATCCATTTCCCTGGTTTTTCTTTGCACACACGTTTACTGTGCGCTGTAGATATTCATATCTGCATTTATATTTTCTTACAATTTAGATTTTGAATAAAGTTAGCAATAAAATTCCTGAGAGAATGGAAAGGCAAAACAGGATGGACAGAATTTTTAACATTAGTTTTTGCTGCTGTGTTTCTGAAGCTGCCAACTTTAGGTCTCCATCCAGCGCTGGACACCCAGCTGTGCTAGTAACATTTCCCACCTGTCTGTGCTCCTTGGGGATGAGGTGAGCAGCCTGGAGCCAGCGGAGGCCCTCCTGCGCTGGAGGATCTGCTCCTCTGCTGGGAAGAGTCCTTCCATCAGGTCCATGGTGGTCATCCTGCCGCTCTGGTCCAAGATGTCCACCAGGGACTTGTCTTTACCCATGATGTCCCTGGCCAGCTCCTCTCTCTTGGCGTCTTCCTCTGAGTGCCGAGAGCCCGCTGAACTCGACTCAGGGACTGACGCTGCCTTAGCCTGGTCCTGATCAGTCTTGGGGGTGTAGGCGCTGAACAGAGACGAGGCCGGGCGCTCTGTGGCGCTCAGGGAGGGGATGAGGGGTGGCGGTTCGACGCTACCGGTCTCGCTGCTCTGAAGCAGGTAGGCCCGGCCCTCTCGCTCCGAGCTGCTCTCGGCGTGGACGATCCTCACAGGGACTTTCCTCCCCGGACTGTTCACATCCATCTCAGCTGGGAGCTTCCAATCATTTTCTGACCTGGACAGGAAATCGTGATTATCTAAAAATAGTCTACAATTTCAAAACTAAACATAGAAGTGAGACAGGTGATGTGATAACATCCTGATGTTTAATACAAATAAACTTAATAATCTTTATCTGATACGTGTATGGTACAAATGAAACATCCTTTCACTATTATTCTCAAAATGATTTTTTAGCATCACATTTTCACAGTTTTTTTTTTACACTTCTGGCTCCCAAACATTTTGCAATTCTATGCCTTGCTCACAGGTATTTTATTTTGAAGGGGGAGATAATTTCTTACTCGTTACACCCTCAGAGACTAAAGAATAATGTAAATGTGACACAATCTTGCACTGTTCATGTTTAATCTCAGGGAAAGTCGGGTTTTGATATTGGAAACACGTCTTCCAACTGGTCATTTAAAAGAAAACATCTGCCCTAACAATGAAGCACAGATGGTGTGAACACACATTTTGTAGTAAACATCATAGCTACACAGTCGACAGTTTCTAATTAAAGGACGGATCGTACAGTAGAACTGCAGTGGAAACCAAAAAGGTCACAGCAGCAATGTGGCTTTAACAAAATTACAGCCTCCAGTTCGATTTGTTTCTGGCCGTAGAGGAAATCAGCTACAAGCACAATCAAACTGATCCTCCTCTCTGTGAGCACGTTTTACATTACAGGCTTCTTCAGCAACTCAGAGGTATCAGCATTTTCCTTTGTGACAATGGGCTTTTCTTAAAATCAATTCCTTTGACACTGTTTGTGCTATTTGCGGTTCCACCACAAGTGTTATTTTAAGTCTGACATATAAACATAATCATTAATCTTCTTTTCTCTCTACACTCTGACATTGTATTGTTCTTCACTGCCCGACTTTCGTCCAAGCTTTCTTGCACTTGTTTACCTAAAGTTGTTCGTCAAAGCCTCCTCTACTAGAACAGAAGGAAAAAGCTTACAAAGTAATGAGGCCTGAAGCCCTTTGGCTAAGCTCTTTACCTGAGCGTTGAGTCATCCTGCACGAACACGGCCGGCGGTTGTCGGTGAGTCTCAGCGGTGCAAACTGTGGCGAGGGAGGTCGCGCTTGATCTGCGGGAAGAGACAGAGCGGCCGTACAGGAGGACGAGGAAGGTGGCTGTGGCTGCTCCTTCTCTTCCTCGTTTTCTACACCTTCTGTGCTCATGTCTGCTCTGGTCCTGCTGAGGTGTGGAGAGCTGGCCGGGGCGGGGCCGGCGGAGGAGTTCTGGGCAGTAGCATGGTGCTGGGTGTCAGAGCTGGAGCTGGACAGAGGCTGGAGCGCTGCCGGATCTGCCTGGGCGCCAGCGAGGAATTCCTGGGAGGAGGATGTGGTTTCTTGGCCTAAATGGGGCCTGGGCGGCGGCAGGAGGCCCTTAGTTTGTGGAAGCTGAGATGGGTGCTGGGAGCCAGGGTTGGGGCTAATGCTGCAAGGGCCTGAGGAGTGTGCAGTGTGGGAGGGATTGGCAGTCTCTGGTTTGGTCCTGTGGTCAGTGAGGCCTGGGACTGGGCCCTCATTTCTGGAGACTGACGGGGCCGACTGTGGGCTGTGGTCGGGCTGGTATCGCTGCCTGCTCTCCGTTTTTCCTCTAGAGTTCAAAATAAAGACAAATGTCATCAGCACCTGAGGGAAAAGTCTAATTTTACCTTCTTTATAAGCAGTGGCGGCCTGAAGCATCTGGGGGCCCATTTCAAAAGCAAATGTGGGGGCCCTACCCCACAAAATTACTTTAATCATGAGTCATCAATTTTAGAAAACACTTGTGCACATTAAACGTCACACTAAATGGTGATATTCATGTTTGTTAATAAGGAAAACTTACATCTAATAGTTAAACATCAATGTCCAATCTGTTAAAACACTATTTCTGTTTAAAATTATTTTATGAAATGTTCCCACCCTTGCATATAGCAGTTTTCTGTAGTACTGTAGTATTAGATATCTAATATAATCTTAGAAGAACTTTTAAACATATTTAGTACACTGACATCTCTGAAAATATGTTTGTAATTGTATTATAGGTTCTGAGGAGGAAAGTTTAGAAAAGGTTTGTTTACACACAGATACATTTCAAATGTACTTATGTTTTTCAGTAGTACTTGGAAAAAGTTGTGCATCAGCTCAAACTCCTTCAAGACAACAAGAGTCAGAAGTGGCTGTGTAGAAAAACAAGCCTGTAACTGGTTCATCAAAAAAAGCTTTTCATTATGGGTATGTTTTTTTTTTTAAATAAAAATTATGTTTAAGAGTGATGTGTGCAAAGTTCACAAGTAGTTGTTTACCTGGCTAAAGCACCACTATGTTTGTTTACTCCACTAGCATCTCTAATTGGTTTATTTGAACCTCATTAGTGGATCCTCTGCCTGTTGACTTTAGGAGCTTTAAGGGCGTGTTGCCTGTTCAGTGAGTGTGTGTTTCATGGTGTGGAAAACTGAGCCACAAATGGAAACCAAAACCCAGAGGTTGGATTACATGTAAGCTGAGACAGAGATAGGGGCAGGATCTGACTTAAAGAAACATTTAGTGTAAATAAATGGTTTTACTACAACACTTACTGTAAATATTATTAGTTGCAGAATTGTTTCCAGGATAAAGGTGTCTGCCATACATGGAATGATAGGATTACATTAAAAGCTAATGGTTTAAAATAAACTGTATATACTAACTATCCAGCTGCAGCAGCTCATTGGCTTTAAAATAAACAAGTGCACAATCTGACTTTTCAAATGCTTATTTTTCAGTTCTTGTATAATTTTAGATACGTGTTGATTATTTTGACAAATCAATGCAAAAAAAAGTGACGACACTTTCAATACATTTAGCAGATACGGGTGCAAAAATTTGCTTCAGGCTCCCTTAAATATTGAAATGCAATGCTTAAAATGTCCCTCATTTGAAAGATTAAGGACTGACTGGGTTAAACATGAGATCAGGAATGTATTGGCAGACTGAGAAGCATAAGCAACACTTAATTTTGATGTTCTTAGGGTAGAATTTACCAATTTGTAACTTTTCATTAGGGATGAGCGAGTACAGCATCTGTACCTGTTCAACTTATAAAATGATCTGTATGTGTAGCCGTACTTTTAATGAGAGCAACGTTTTTGATTACAATAGGTAGAGAACAATTATTTGTTCATAGTTTATTATTAGTTAACAGATACTGACACATTTTATTCTGATTAACTCTATTATCTCTACCAGATACTTGTTTCAACTGAGTACTGGCTCAACCTTAATTTTTAATCCTCAGGTTAAGGTGAACTGCACACAAAAAGAGTAGATTTAAGAGCCTTTAAATGTATAAATTAGGGGGTTTGGTTAATGGTGAACGCAAAGCAAAACTTTTGTTCAAACACCACCCACTAAAGAATGTAACATTAAGGCAGTAACACTAGAAAGAAGGAATTCCAGCTACACTTTAGTTAAGATACGTTGGGGTAAGGTTTACTGACTGGTTGAATGGTGTATTTATTAAAAGGCGTTTATGTCCCACCTTGGCAGACAGTATTTCAACAAAGGAGAAAATGCTGTGGATTAATTTCACCATTTAGCGAAGGAAGTGATCGATTATGTAACTGTTGAGTGTTAATTTTCAACACCAGCTTAAGGATAAAATGATACTCCCTCCGCCCGCCGTAAATCACCTGTAATTGCACGCACACTTTTGTCAATCTGGGTGTAGTTTGCAACAGGAGTCCCGGAGATACTGTTTGCATCAACATGAGCTCCAACAACACGAGATAAGGTTGGGAAGAGATCTAGTTTGACAGAAAATGATATTTTCTTGTCAGCTCAAGAAACCTGAAATACATTTTTTCTCTGCCCTGAAATCTCACCACTCAAATACATTCCACGTTTACATGAAACTTGACGAGCATTTCTTTTTAGCGGATGTTCCAGAGCAATCGACAGCAGGTAAGCGTTCTGATGGACACTTTGGAAAGTGCAGCGGTGAACTGTTTGACCTTTGACTTGGCAAACACTGTGCCATCTTCAGGTCGTTGGATATTTATTACACTGAAACCTTCGGCCAAGCACTCACTGAGCCATTAAAGAATTGATCACTTGTTTATTTTACAGTCTTTTTGATTGTGTCCTTTTTAGTTTGTTGTAATTATTTGACTGAATGGATTTCACAATTATTTTGTTTTCTGTTTGTTTACTGCCATTCATCCACATACCAAGTATACAAATGAACAAAATGCCGTTTCTCACGGTCCACAGTGCTGAAAACGACATCACAACAAACAACTAACAAGACAAGACACTATACAGCACATCACAGTAACTAACACTGGACGAGGACAGAAGAGCAGATCTATTTCTGTAAAGCAGAGTGAACTTGGAGTGGCTGGAGGATGAACCATATCTGAATCTGTACTTAATAATAGTAGCAACAGAAGTCAGTAATAGCAGCAGCATTGGAAATATTGTCTTATTTGTACAGTTCTCTCACCTGGTGGGGTAACTGCTCTGCTGGCTGTGAGGGTCTCTCCATGATGAAGGAATATTCTGCAAAAGAAAGGTAAAGAGCCTCTTTGCTTAACTCGTAAATCCATTTATGAGTTCTTGTCAAGTTTATTCGGATTGAAAAAAAAAATTCCAGATTTATTCAATAACTTATAAAATACAGTAACTTTTCATTTTATTCCATCAATCATTTCTAAGTGCTTAGGAACTGTCTCGAACAGACTTGTTAGCTCATCCGCCACACAAAACACACTCTCTAAATCAGTTGTCCACATATTCTTGACTTCTCACCTGTGTATAGAAGTCTGCAGAGGGAGAAGATCGGGATCTCTCATGGATGCATGCAGCCTTCTCCTCGGCATCTGCATCTAAGATGTTCTCCGCTGAGTGAAACCTCCCTTGTGTCTTTCCCTCTACTGACTTCTTCTGTTTGTTCCACGTGGCCTGATACTCAGCAAAGGTCCCGAGCCTCTGCTGCTCCAGTAAGACCTGTTTGTGTCCAGGGCTGAGGCGGTTGGTGGTTTCGGCAGATGGGTTAGCCTCCTCAGATTCTCCAGGGGGAGTTCTCTCTTTGGGTTTGCCCGTCTCACCAAGATCTGCATTCGTGTTTGTACCCTGACTGGACTTCAGTGTAGGCCTGGAAAATGCCGGTTTGGCCTCAAAGAACCTCCTCCGCTCTCCGAAAGAGCCTGCTTGAGGTTCTCCCTCCACTCCTACTTTGTCTATCTTGTCAGGCTCTGAGAAGGAGTGCGTCCTCTTGGCCAGGGGGAAGCGCTTACGACCTCTGACGCGTCCATTGGAGATTTTAACTACCGCCGCTTCTGGCCCAAGGGGCTCAAGGTCCCGTCTCTGGAAGGAGGTAGCCTGGAGGACCCTGGCCTGTGCCTCTTTCAGGTGATCCTTATAGGTGTTGGAGAAGGACACACCACAAGACGTGGAAGTCTTTGTGGATCTCCACTCCTCTGCCTCCTCATCCTCCGCTTCGCATGTCAGGGTTGCAGCACTGCGGCTCTTCTGCAGCTGGGCTCGCTTCTGCAGGATCTCATTGCGGAGGGTGGTGGCGTAACGGTCGCTCCGCCGATTTGATTTTCCACTGCTGACGGCCACGGGGTCTCCGGCATCCTGGCTGGACACGACACCCGCGGTCATAGCTGCCGGTTGCCTCTCAGCCAGAGTCCTACTCTCCTGGGCCAGGGAGTGGAGGAGTGGGGTTTTGAGGGGGGATATTCTGTGATCTTCTTGAGGCACCCATGGGTCTTGCTGCCTTGAAACGTTGACCTTATGATCGTTACTCAGATGAGTTGGAAAGGGCCTTTTCACGTCTTTAGAGTGTCCTTCCCCTCTCTTTGCAGAATCCTCTGGGCTGCGGCTTCGAACAGAAAGTTCAGAGGATTGTCGGTCATGATGTAGACCATTTCCTGGATGAGAATGGGCATTGCGCTCCTTATTTTCACTGTAAGGTATCTGGGACTGAGGTAGAGAGTACTTTGCCTTAAAGTTCGTCTTCAGGGAACTTGGGAAGCCTGGCTCTTTACCGTTTATCCACTGGGGTTTCTCTGTTTGCCCCCTCCAGCCCTCTGCTTTGCCCTGCCTGGCGTAAGCTCAGCAGCTTGCTTGCTTGCTAGGCTGTAGTATCTGTTGTGCTCCCCGTTCTCCAGATTCGGGTTTGCAGCAGAACTTGCCATGGACGCTGTGGAGTGTCGGACCTGTTTGCGGCTGAAGGCTCTTGTGGGTAGATCCTGGAGGCTGCGATAGTAGCTTCCTACACTCTGAATCTTGGTGGGAGGAGCTGACCTGGTCTTCAGGTAGAGGGGACTTTCGTCACTGTATTGTCTCAGGTGGGCAGGCGGTTGGGTGTAATGAGACTGTCTGATGTCACTGCTGGATAAGGAGAAGAGTTTGTTGGGGTGCAGCTGGTTGTGGTTGTGGTCAGCCGCCGTGTTAGGATGGAGGAAGTCTTTGGTGGGTAGGGGGTTGAAGCTACGTCTGGCCTCTGAGGTTTTCTCCTGTGAGCTCTGAGGCCATTCTGATCATTATTTTCTGTCAGTTTTTCAATTGACCTGCCTTTGGTCTTTGCTGGACCACTAGGCCCTTCAGAGTAAGGGAACACCTTTGTGGCGGCAAAACTGTCACTGCGCAGGGGAGGAAGTGGGGGAGGAGGGGACTGGGACTTCTTCTTCTCTGGTACCTGCCACACAGGGCCGGAGGTGGGTCTCCCTGCAATGGAGACCCGCGAGGCAGGCTGCTCCTCAGCCCGTGACCCCTCCCAACCTCCATTCCCCAGTGTGGGCTGCAGGTACCTTGGCCGCTCGGCCTGCTGAGGCCCTTCACTATGAAGGCCCTTGAAGAAAATGTTTTCAGTGCCGGTACCCTTCCTACCAGATGTGCTTACGTCATGAAGAGAAGGGCTGGAGCCACTAGAGAAACAACTGAAGCCGGAGTCTCTTTTGCCTCCCGGTCCACAGGGCGGCTCAGTGTTGCTGATGTACTTAGTTGGGGAAAGACGACCAGGTGGGTACTGATGAGAGGGACGTTCCAGTCTCTCCATGTTGTTGGCTGAGCTGAACTGGCTCGTTAGCGGATGCTGGGTGTCCTGGTCCCCTTGAGTGGACGACTCCTTGGGCCTGGAGTCAGGAAAAAAAAAAAAAAATGTTGTTACCTTTGTTACTTCATGTTTTAGAAGTGACTTAAAATTACGTTTAATTAAATAAGAATATCCCTCACACACCACCACTAGCACATCTGATCAGGATTGTGGTTAGCAAATTAATTAAATATATTTTCTTAACGCACAGAGAAGCTAAAAGAGATCCTAAAAGTCTCACCTTGCTTCATGTTTTGGCTGCCAGACTGGCGCTGGTGTGGCCTCTCTCCTAGCGGGCTCCGACTCCTCTTCTGTCAGCTTGGATGAGTGCCACGAATGGGGCCGCGATCCTGGATCATTCTTCCTGCAGGGCAGCAAGGCAACAAAACACAATCACAAAAAGAGTATTTGACATTTCACCTTGTTTTGCAAACATCGTGCTTATCAAGACAGACGGCAGGATTTTGCAAATGCCATTGTTTAACATTGGGTTGTTTGGAGATTAGAGATAAGATACAAGGGTATGTTCACATCTCCAAACAACCAAAGCAACATCACAAAACCAATATTTAATGATGGCAAGTCAATAAGGAGACCTTTCAATACGCTTAACTATTGGGTATTTGAGAAAAGAGTGGTTGTTGCTTGACTTAATATATCAAATATGAATGAAATATTCTTGCATTTATCTTCTTATAATAGCATCCATACCGCGGTAAGAATCCTAGAAATACAAACCGATTACTGTAAATTACTGTACTACCCACTTTGCTCACACCAAACTTGCACATACCCTTGCCTGAAGCGGTTTTTCCTGGAGAGCATGTTGACAAAGGAAAGAATTACACGTGATCAATAGATCATACACTTAATTTCAAATAAAATATTAAACCAGAGAAAGAATATAATGCGTGAACTTCATGAAATGTAAATGTGACAAAACCAACTAATAGCAATGAAGAGGCTGAACATCACAGTACTGAACACAACTAAAGAATATTTTGTTTTGGCAACTAGTAACACACAGTACAAAATACTGCAAAGGAACACAAAGCACAACATACAGACTGGATGACCAAAGATCATTTAGGTTCACGAAAATCTACCAACAAATACAACGGGACGTGGCTGGCTGATGGTACCTCATAGAGCTTCGCAAAATCTTGGTGAGAAAGCTCCTCGCCACATGAACCTCGGTTTCTGACGGCATTGTGCGCGACGTTACAACATCAACCATTTTAGCCCTGATGGGTGGCGAGTGAAGGGAGGAGAAAAAAAAAATAAAAAAAAGAGAGGATATGATAACATTATCAATTATTCTTTCTGAAGCAGAGAGTCTGAGACTTACCTATAGATCTTTAGCCCACTCTGGTATTACACTAGGCAGATGCACCAAACAAAACTGCCTAATTTTAAACCTAAAATACAAACCAAACTACCACAAGACTACCTTTGAACTTTAACCGCATAGCAGTCATTCATTTATCATTATGTAGACTTCTAATTCTCATACAGCGCAACCCTGCTGGCATCACATCGCTCTCAGCTTTCCAAAAAGTTACAACTGAACTGGCTGCCTCATTAAGATGTGACTGCATTTTGGACCAAATCATGGAGCGGACTTTTACCCAGAACAATGTCTGAAGTCAAAGCAACCGGGTGTTCAGTGTCTCGCTCAAGGTAACTTCATATTGGCTGTTGGGTGACCCCTCTTATTGTGAAAGGCTTCCCCAACAGGAGCTGGAGACAGATCTGTCACAGCCATATGGCCCAGACGGAGCTCATCTGTTCAGCTTTTACAAAAGAGACTGATTTGAGTCAGATCCACAGGTTGCCCCTCCAACCACCACAACCTTCCACTCCTCATACCTCCAACACTACGCAGGTTTTTCCCGCATTTCAAGGCCGTCTCCTGGTATTCCCCCATTTAGTTGTTCCTCTCAGGAAACTAACCGTAATTTGCATGGCCATCGAACTTTATTATGATGAAAAATCGTCACCCAAGTTGCCAGACTATCTATGAAACACAGTCTACACACACAATCCACACATCTGGCAACAAACCGACAGGCAGAGGGCCGGCTAATGTAGCTGTTGTTTTCCAAGTTCCCAAGTTCAAATGTCAGACCGAAGTGAAATATCTCAGCCAAATGAGACTTCAGTCGCCTTGATTGAAAACTTCAACCCTGCCGGCCTGGAGACGCTGCATTCTTTCAGCAAAGGAATGCAGGGAGGCCATCGCCTCGCTTCAAGTGGGACATCTATGTTGGCCATCTCCCAGGAGTCTGAGAGTTTCCCAGTCGCTGCAGTGCATTAAAGAAAGTGTGATACTGTCTTTCTGATTTTTAAACAATACTACACCTGGCTCTGTATAGCCCCTGAGGGACCATTACATATATTTGGTACTAATCCTGCTAAAGTGTTGTGGTTAGCAGTAGAGTTGTAAAAATAAGTAAAAGGAGAGCATAAAATTAGAGGGGAAAAGGAAGGGAAACTGCTTGAGATGTTGATGATCTAAGTGTATTTTGCTGTTGTACCGTTTTAAGTCAGTTGCTGTGTTGTTTCCACCCTGCACTTTAGAAATCAATGAAGCAGTGGGCGGGGTGAGACTGGCACCTGCCTCGTTTGGGTTATCTGTTGATGCAGTTTGATAAGTGACCCTATTTGTCAGTCCAGCAAACATTACCCCTGCAACTTGTATGCAATTCTTACATTTTTGCATTCTGAGCTGAGTCGCTATCCCCGATTAAAACAGTCATCAATTTGAGGTGCACCAAATGAGCACCATCGTGATTTTCTCTTTAGTCCATCCCAAATGTACAATTCTTTCTAGGAAATTAGAGGAGATTATCAGTGTTTCTGATAATGCTACAAAGTTTATAGTGGGAACTAAAAATACGTACTTAATTAAGAACCAAACTTTTCTTATTTAATTAATATTTGAGTTTCTATTCTGGAGGTCAGGTTTGTTTTTCAAACTTCACTCGACTGAGTTTGATTTTCAGCACGTTTTAAAACCAGCATCCGTTTACCTTTACAGTAACTTTAGCTCAGTAACTCATCGACAGCTCAAACATTTCTGGAGACATCTGTGATTTTCTAGCAAAAGGGCTCATCTTTCATATATTCCACACAAACCAAACATGTAAAAATGTAGAAAACAGCTACTACAATAAATTTATGAAGCAGCAAATGGTGTTTATTAAAAATATCCTAAACTGTTACTTTAATTTAAAAACCTTCCCTCCCTCTGCTCAATGTGACATAAAAAGTGAGAGTCATGTTGCCTCCAAACAAACTCCTGCACAATGAAAATGCAAATTTCACTCTTTCTAAAGCGCTGAGGGTGTATTGTCAGGGGATACAGCTGGTCTGTCAAGATATTCTAAAGGGGAGGAGACACCAAACTACGTTTAAGAGTTCATTCAAGAAAAGAACTAAATATGAAACTGGCCTAGTTGGCTACTAGTACATCCGCTGTGTCAATAAAGCACAGTCTTGTCTTAAAACTAAACACAAAGACTGATGCAATATCTGTTTAATCTGCATCAATAATATCTCAGGTAGTTCTGAAACGATTGGTTTTAAAATTAATCTATAAAAATACTGATGGCCCAAGATCTTCAATATTAAGGATTTTCCCTTTTTCATATCTCCGTAACCTGAAAGTCGCTCCGGATAAAACAATACATAAGAACTGATAGACTGAAAGACAAATCCTTGCAGGGGTTATTAAAAGTTGCATGCTCCAAACACAGCAAAAATCTACATCTGATCAAGTCATTTCTGTCTATAATTAAGTACTTAAACTTTATTACTAACTAACCTTGTAACTATAAACAAGCTCTATTAAAAACAGGTTGAAATAATATATCTGGACTGTATGAAGTTAGGTATTATAAAGGAGACTTTTGCAGGGTAAACCGACTTGCGTGGGCTTCTCTTAATGAAAAGAAGCAAAGCAACATGTAAAAAAAACTTGGCAACTTACCAACTACCTAGAATACTACACCAGTTCTGGTTTAAAAAAAATAAAAAGAATAAGACACTTCCACTTTACTTCTCCACAGCCGACTTCTTCAAAAACACTTCAAGGAATCTGGGAACTCCATGATCGAAGAGCTGCTGCCCCCTCTCCTCTTCTTCCTCCTCCTCGTATGACCACACACACAAACACACTGCACCTTGTGCAGCGGAGGAGATTTCCTCTGGGATTATAGAGCGGATTTGAGACAAGGGGGAGGAGTTATTGTCCTGCCCAGCGTCCTTGTTGTAATCTAGTGTTTGGAGGGTAAGTGGCTGGGCCTGCAGAGCCGCTGGGGCTGCTGGGAAAGTTGAATCAGCGGGACGTATACACTACAACGGCTCACAGTTTGTCACAAGGTTGAGAGAGATAAAGGATTCTGTCAAAACTGCAACACAAACATTTTTTGCTGCCAGAAAGTGGCTGTTCGTGAGCCAAAATCTTTCAAACAAGCCAGTTACAGTAAAGTGGATTAGGAAAAGATTTTTATAAAGCCAAATTTTAAAACAAAGCACACAAAGAACCCTAATGGGCGACGCAAATAATGTGTGTCAGAGTGAGCTGAAAATGTTTGAACTTGAGTAAAACATTTGCGCAACACTGTGTTGTGAAAGGCCATCGGCGTCGACATTCTCCTGACATCACAGGGAATCAGAAACGAAGGAGAAACTCGTTGTCGCCGTCATTTGAATCATCTGTACCAGAGCTCTACGATTCAACGTCTTTACTTCAAAGACACAGAACAAAAAAAGGCTTGTAGAGATTTGCAGAAATAGTCTGACCACACCTTTACAGTCCTCAGCCATGCTAGCGGCTCTGTGAGGCACAGCGCCTTTGAGCAAAATGCTAACATCTGCACGCTAACATGCTCACAATGATAATGCTAACATGCAGACCATTACATCTAAAATGTTTACCGTATTCACCATCATAGTTTAGCGTGTAAGCAGCCTAACATGTGCCAATTAACACTAAACGCCAAAGTAAAGCTGAGACTACATAAAGTGTATGTTTGACCTGATGATGGCACGATGAGGAAAAGTCAGAGAATCACCAAAGTCAGTGCCTGTGAATACCCGAGATACATCTCACAGCAATCCATCCAATGGTTTTTGTCATCTGGACCAAAGTGGTCGACCGACTAACCGACCAACATTGTGAACCCCAGAGCCACGCTGCTGGCATGGCTAAAAGCAAGATATCCATCGGTAAAATACATGTTCAAATCTATGAAACATTCAACGCACTCTCTTTTTTGGACGTGCATAGGCACCAAATGTACTTGGTTATGATTAGGAAAAGATCATGGTTTGGGTTAGAAAACTTAACTTATTTAGGTT